TGGCAGAGCTCCAAAAGCTCCCCCGCCTCACAAGTCGTTACTAGAAGAGGCTTGGAGCTGCCGACGAGACCATAACGAGCAAGACTCAGACTCAGACTCAAACAGCCGGGTCAGCAGACCAAGGGCAAACACGCCGCCCTAGAAGGAGATCACCCATGTTGGAGTGACAGAGAAGCTTGGGAAAGTAAAAGCCTCATTTTGATACACCAAAGACCAGAATACGCCGCCCGCTTGGACATTTCTTCCCCAGCCTTGACGTCTCTTGGGTTGGGCCAGCCTCCGTTTGGCACTCACTTCCCGTTAATAACTCGACAATTGAGACTCGAGATACGGGTGGGCACTTTGCTGTCACCACCACCTGCCTCTTGCCCCAACTTTGCTCTCTATCTTCCGTCTCGGATGCGGTGCCCCTCACCACCACTTCGGCAACTATCCACGATTAACGGACAGCAAAACCTCCTTGCTCCCTTGCTTCTTGCACGCGGCGTTAGCAGGCAGCCCTCGTTCGCTCACCTCCATCAACTTCAGCAAACCCGTGGCTACCCTCCAACACAAGCCACCACCCAGCACCATCTCTTCAAACGAGGCTGCTGTCATCTTTCTGGTCGCACGCCCCTTTTGCCCCTCGTACAGCTCGCACCCCTCCCCTACCCCTCCCATCCCATCTCATCCCACATCGCCGTCTCCCAGACCGCGGTCAATCCCTCAGACCGTCTGAGGGACCCCAGTCATTCAGCGAAGTCCTCGGAGCGCCGAGTCCTTCCAGCAATACTTCCCAGGTACCGGTCCATTGGAGCGGCGCGCATCTGCTTCCTTCAGTTTGCCCATCACCTGCTGAATCGCTGCTGCTCAAGTATGGATACGGAAGGCCAACAACAGCATTCCAGCCCTTTACCGAGTTTCCGTTTTCCATGCAGAGCTTGTCTTGGCTTTTGCCTCTGCCTTGCCGAGTCGCAGACCTCCATCCGACAGCACAGTGACCGAGTCTGCGCCCGCCTGAGTCGATAGCCATAATGCACGCAACCCCAAAGCAACGGAGTACAGCTCCGGTCCATGACACTTATCCCGGCGCGTTCCGTCACGCAATCATTCCGAACGGGCCTTTTCGTCCAAGCATTCTAGGTGTTTTCCACGTTTATCAGGGCTGTCGAGCTTTAATCATCAAACTAGCTCAACCCTAGCATTTGTCACTGTGCAGTTTCCTGCTCCTCGCGCCATTGGGCTCATGAGGATGGAGTCCTCTACGCGGCGTGTATAGCCAACCACGACCGAAAGGTTGAGGAGAGATAACGCCTGGGCTTGTCTCTCGTGCCGTCCGCTCCTCACGGCGCGGTTGCAGGCCAAACACCACCGAAGCGCCGCAACCCGTATGTTAAGTGTTCGGCGGACGGAGATTCTCTGGCCGCAGCGGCGGTCAGCCGGGCACTGAGTCGAGGACGCAAACCGTACAAGGGTGCATACTTGTTTAAGTATGCTCCGCTCGTTTGCTTTCCGCCCACTGCATCGCATCGCATCGCACCGCGCGGGTGTCCAAACGAGAGAAACCTACTTCAGACTATTTCCCAACCTAGCCGGGTCCCTACGTATCGCGCTCCTCACCGCAACGGGCAAGCAATGTTCTTTCCCACTGGGCTTGGCGGTATGAGTACCGTACAGCACTCGTGCTAAGGAAGAGCAAAGGCCACAGACACGACGTAATTACTGAAGGCAAGACAAGAGAGGGGAAAAGAGCCCCAGAAAAGCGGAACCTCGTCCATTCCTTTGCTCAGGCTTGCTTGAAAGCAAATTTCCTTCTCAAATCCCGTGACCGCCATCCCCGGTTGTCTGGCACGGAGCATGACCCAGAATCCCGCCCATCAGGTTCGCCCATCCATGGTTCTCCCCCTCTTCCGATTGCTGCTCCGGGCGGCGCGTCCCGTCCTGCTGGCAGCAGAAGCAGCAGCAGGCACTGCCTCGAGAAGCCGACGAGAGCTGGTGCTGGCACCAGCAGTGGTGGCAGAAGCGCATTAATCAGAGATCAGCCATCAGCCGCGAGAGCGGTGTTGCGAGAGGGGGGGATGCCTGAGTCGATATGTTTGCCCGTCACCGCCCATCCTTGACTTGCGTCAATCTGTTGGATACGTCGGCGCTGCTTGGTGTTGCCTGCGGCGGTCGTGAGTTGAGTGGGCATCCGTCGCTCAACACATGGATGCTAGAGATGCTCATCTCTCATCATCTTCTATCTGGAATACGGCACTCGATATCAGAGAAGCCGAGCCGTACCGTACTGGCGGTCTCGTCCCTTGTACGTACATAGACTCTCAAGGTACCGTGCCTTGCTCTCTACATGCGCTTGTACATGGGGGGGGGGGTCTCTGCTTGCCGGGCCACGGTACGGCAAGCAGACAGAGAGGCGGCGGCGGCAGCAACACACGCAAGACAAGACAGACACACGGTCCAACCTCGCAAGCCACTTCACTTGCTGCTGGTCCCTTTTGTGCGTGTCCAGCCAGGACGGCGCGTGGTGAGAGAAACGGCGAGGCGGCGCTACGTACTACTTGTTTTAGCAACACGCCCCCCCCTTTTTTTCAGCGCAAAACTCGACGACGAATCCCTCCCCCCCCCCTCGTTCGGCCACGAAGATCCTCGTCCTAGTCACAATCCCAATTATCGCCTCTGCAATTCTTTTTTTCTTTTCTTTCTTCCTCGTCTATTCCCACCACCATTACCACCACGCAGCGCCGCGCAGAGCAGAGCAGCCGTATCCTTGTCTGTTTCCATGAGACCCCTGGCCCTGCTAGCTTTCTGAGACTTTTTGACTTGGCAGGGTCGATTGGATTCCTAGGGTAGAAACACCTCTGTCTCTTCTTCCTGTCGAGTCTCTGGGGCGCGCTTCTGCTCTGTCAGTGTGTCTGCGTCTGATTCTGCGGCGCCGCCTCTCTCCGTTCGCTTGGGTCGTCGATTCCTCAGAGTCTCCCCAGCAGCTCTGTCTCTTGAACCCGGCCATCTGCTGTCTCGCCTGTGGATAGACATACTGCGTAGGTCCCAGGTACCGTTCAGAGTACTCTACTTTGGGATCCCTGGTAGACATTCGAGGCTCCTTCGAGAGAGGTTCAAACCAAGAGTCAGACCGCCTTCAAGTGCCCGTTCTGCCACCTCCATCTGCACGTACTCTGCGGCGTACTGTACATGCTGCGTACCATATCCATACCCTGACCACCACACCCATGCGCTTCCCACATCATACCCAGTTCTCCCAGACCTGTACCCATACCTATCCCACCTTGCCTTAGTTCTTGCCTTAGTACCTTATCCCGACACCTTCATCAGGGACGTTGTACCGCTCGCTCTTGCTCTGTGCGGCAAGGTATATGGCGACCTGGACATCACCACCCTCTGCCGCTTGGTCTTGACGTTTCTCGACCTTTTCCTCCAATTCCAAGGCCTCCCCACCTTGCTCCCACCTCACCCCCGTCACGTCAAAAAAGTCAAGGTCAACACCAAAAGACCAAGAGAGACACCAGAGAGCAAAAATAGGGAAGCTCCATCTCTGCCCAACGCGCTGATCCTACCCCCTTCCGCCGTGCCAAACCCTTTGGGCATCCGGGCGCATTCGCAGAGTGGAAAATCCCATTTCGCAAGTTTCAAGAACCACACAGCCGGGAACACCTCTCAAACCAGCAGCACCAGCCTCGAAAGCAAGCTCGCCCATCGCGCGCGCCGCCGTCGCCGTCTGTCGCCTCGACTCCGCCTGGCCGTTCCGTCTTCGCCTCCTTCGAGTCCAGTCCCCTCTACGCCAATATACCTACGCATAGCATACTGCGGTACGCACACGCACACGCACACGCGCACATACGCATACTTGTCTGTACGGATACCGGATACTGGATACAGACACGGATACTTCCTCTACCTCTATACCTCTGCCCAACCCAACGACACACATCCCGACACACCGTCCTGTCCGACATTCACACCGACTTGCCCTTCTTCGACGTATCCCGTACCTACCTACAGATACATACGTTGCAGCCACGCCATAGGGACCACCGCCCCATGCTTTCATCCAAACACTGAAGGTCCAATTGCTGTTCCCAGACCTCCGCTCCCCGTTCTCCGGCTTCTCACAGGCTGCCTGCTTGATTGATTGCTTGCTTGCTTGGTCTCTCTTCGCCTGCTTGTCCCTTCACTCCTCCTCCTTCTCCTCTCCATCCCCGGCCGCTGCTCCCGTCGCGTTGCGTAGCGCCGTCACCCACAACCAAGCATAGCATAGCATTCGAACTGTGGACTGTTGACTGTACGGATTCCATAGTCCTTACCAGTCGTGTCCGGCCTCGCACCTTACCCTTCGTTGCCCAAAGCTTTTCCATGGCCGCCACCTTCTCCTCCTTGGACCTGGCTTGACCCTTTTTTCGCTTCGTCTCTTGTTTTTTCATAAAGCATTGTACGTATGTACATATATATCAAGCATGGATCCGGGGCAGCCTGACAACAAGCGCCCCCGTCTCTCGACCGCCAACCACCCGTGGTCACCGACTGGCGCACCGCACAATCATCTACCTCCTCTGCATCCGCCTTCGCTACCTCCGACGCCTCACCAGGCTCACCCGCCTCATCACTCGGCACCGCCGCCTCCTGTCCCGCCATACCATCAACAGCAGCAGCCACCGCCATATCCTCCTCGCTCAGCCGAGCCTCATCACCCTCCTCACCCGGCCCAGCAACATCCCGACGAGCGACGACACCATGAGCAAGAGCCTCCGTACACGCCGATGCAGGAACACTATCGACACCCGGCCTCGCCCTCACCTGCGCATCCGTCCTACAACCCTTTCCCTCCGCGAGACCCAGGTGGCGTGAAGAGAGAACCCCACGACGAGAACCTCTCCCACCCTCGACGGCCACATTCGACAGGAGGCGCGCCGTCCGAAGGCCTGCCGCCGCCGGGCCCTCATCCGCCGCCTCACTCTGCCCCGCCCCCGGTTCCTCCATACAACGACGATCCACGACGACCACCGCACATGAGCTACGATAACGCGCCGCCGCAGATGCAGCCCCCCACTCCGGGGGGCTACAGGAGCAGCTACCCTCCTCCGATTCCTCCACAGCCTCCTCAGCATTACGAGCAGCCTCAGTATCCTCCTCAACAGCCCGCTCCCGAGAGCCTCTATATTTCATCATATGCCTCCACACAAAAGCGGAAGGCCACACGCGCGTCTCAGGTACGACGATGCCACAGGCCTCTTTTCTGTCAGGTCAGTTTGCGCTAACAACCTATCCAGGCTTGCGACAGCTGTAGGCAGTTGAAGGCGAAATGCGACGAAACCAAGCCCTGCAAGAGTTGCAGAGAAAAGGGAGTTGAGTGCAAATATCGTGATCCCGTGCCAAAAGCGTTAGTATCTGGTGTGCGCGTGTTACTGTTCGTTACTAATTGTCACCGCAGGATCGACAAGTCGCAGACCGACATTCTGGAGGCAATCGTAGACATGAAGGGCTCTCTCGAGAAAAAGATCGAAACGCTGTTTGATTCGTTCGAGCAAAGAATTGCGCGCCTGGAACATGCGCCCCCGTACAAGCAGGTCAAGCTTGAAGCCGATGCCTCGGCGACAACACCGTCTCCCCCGAGAAAACACCTATCGCCCCGAAGCCACCAGCAATCGGGACAGGAGCTTAACCATGACGAAGCCATGCCCATGGCTGTGGGAGATACGGACATCGCGTACCACGAGCAAGAAGATCGCATGGAAGCCGATGAGCCTGAGGACGAGTTGCCTCCAGGCCCGGCTGTGGCACCTGAAGCACCGTCGATTCCCATGAACCATACCACAACGAAAGGACATTTGCTACAGTGGCCTATGATTAAGGAAATGACCCGCAAGGCTCTGAAAGAAAACGGCGTCAAGTTCATTGAGGAATATCCTTGGGTTCGGGAAGAGAAGCGCGGTTTACTCCGCCTTTTCGGGCGCGGCGAGGGCAACGGTAACATTTTTGGATCGAGCAGCGCAAACCCCAGATCCGAGCACGATGCGTACACCGACACCGCCGACGACTACTTGGGAGAAGCAGTTGCCGCGCCTTCTCCAGGCGAGGCTTGGGGTCAAGTCGGCAGTCTCAGCCCGCCAAACCTGACGTATACGAGCAGCACGCTCACACCAGAGGGTCACCCTGACTACACTGAGGCCAAGGTTTGGGGTTATGTAAAATCCTTTGAGGAGAAGATCCTTTCCATGCACCCGGTCATCATGCCAAGCGACCTTAGGCCCATCGTCAGACGATTCTTGGAGAATGTGGCCCAGGGCGAAAAGAGAGGGAAGCCACCACACCCGGGAACCGCAAAGTTCGCGGTGACACATGAACCGACCAACAAGCGAAAACGCTCCCCCAGTGGCGAAGAGCCTGAACCAGTTCAGCAACCTCGGAAGCTGGGCAGGCCTCACAGGACTATCGACGCTGCTATGGTCTTGGTCGTCCTGGCACTCGGAAAGGTCGCTCAGTGGACTGACAAGATCCCGGACCCCATCCCTGATCCGGCTAGTAATTCACACAACTCCCCGATGAACAGGAATGGCCATCCGTCTTCCCCTGGACCTGGCGGCCATGGCTCGCCTCCGGCGCATTCTATTCACTCTCAGTCTTCGGGCTTGCCGTCGCCAAAGGAGCAAAACAACGGGCTCCCGAGCCGGCGGCCGTCCGTGCAAGGCAATGGCGCAAAGCCTATGAACCAATCTTTCAAGCGAAACTACGATGTTATTCCGGGTCTCGAGTATTTTGCTGTTGCAAGCGATATTCTGGGCCAGCACCGCTCCGGCTACACACTGAAGCACTGCCAGACTTTCCTATTGGCTGGTCTGTACTACGGACAACTCGGAAGGACATTGGAGAGTTACCGATTCTATATTGATGCCGACGTTGCTCTGCACACTATCATGCGCCGGTAAGTAGTGGACAATGTAAACGAGGATTATTCAACTAACGAATGGTTTAGTGATCAGGAGCGTTTGAGGCTGGCCGCGGAAAACCCCCTTGGACACCCGCCATTGACCAGGCGTGAAAACATGATTGTCATTAACTTTTGGACTTGTCTCCAGCTGCAAAGGTATATCAAAACAGAGTCATTCCAGCTTGCACCTCATGAGACTGACAGTGTTTGACAGTGATATCATTGCCGAAATGCCGGTTTACCCATCAAATCTCACTCGCTTCGAATATGCTGTGCCCTGGCCCTTGATGCATCAGTTCAGCGACATCGAGTTCCCGGAAGCAGTTTTGTCGAACTACATGGCACAGTTGTACCTACGAAAGCGACTAAACGCGCTGCATAAACTACTCTTTGAGGGAATCGACACGGCCATGGACAAGATGCACTCTGCATTGGAGATTTTGAGCGAGCTGCGAGCAATGGGATGGATCCAGGAGGGCCTCAGGTTCACCGAAGACCAGCCCCCGGCAGGTACACTGATGGAGGCCAGACTACACGCCAAGTACTGGGGAGCTCAGGTCGTCATCTTCCAGCCATTCATCAAGCTGGTGCTTGATCTCTCATGGAAGATGCAGCAGCGAACTGACGGAGCAACACCAAACTCTGACACCACCAGCGGCTTGGGCGTCTTCACTCAGGGCGACGCCGCTGCGTACATCGGACAAGGCGGCATCGATAACTACAAGGACGTCAACGACGATGTTATCAACTTTGCCGAGCAAGGCATCAATGCTCTCATCAAGAGTACCGAAGCTTTCCACAACGTGGATCATGACCGGCTTCACGTAACCAATATCTTTGGCACCGCACATGCGTAAGTTGAGCTACTAGCTGCTAGTTGAACGGAACTAACCAATCTTACAGACAATGGGGAAACCTCTTGGTCCTGGCTGCGGCCTACCGGGATCCTATCCTTGGCAAATACATCAACCGCGGGCACCTGCAAGCTCTGTTCAAGCGAACGACGAAGATGTTGGGTATGCATGCTCACGTGAACAGCACGTTGTTGACGGACAAGAATATCCTTGAGAGCATCGAGAGGGATCTCTTCCGCCACGACGTGGAGGACCCGAGAATGACCACCAGCTTCTCAAGCGCGGCCAGCATGACGGGCCCTTCCGTCCCGCCACCAACAAGCCACCCGGAGACGAACCACCAGGGCCCGATGTCCATGGCATATGCAATGGGACCCAGCCGCAGCGTGCATAACTCCCCCAACCAGGCATACCGCGTCTTGGACAGTCGCGCACCGAACCACGGCTACCAGCCACAACCGGCGCCAATGTAATTCGATGGAGACGAAGACGACATGAGCGGGGCCCATCTGGATCTCGTTCCCCAGCGCGTGGCCTTTGGAGACTGTGGAAAATCAATAGGGGACTTGGACTGGGAGGAGCCAGATAAAAACTGATGAAACGGGCTGAAGTCGCTTCCGATCAACCCACTACTTATACCCATCATCATCATCCATGGAACCGGCGTTTTGCGAATTCGATTCATTTCTCGTACCTACTTTACCGCCCGGGATCGTTACGAGACGACGAAGCAGAGCCCTGCTGGAGCCTTCTGCCTCGAAGGCGGCGAACTCGAGGGCCCGACCTTCGCCCGTACACGGTCATGCGAAAATCGTCGCCCAACCCACCAAGGGATACATACAACAGTGACCACATCCCAGGATATCACACCAGTAACAAAAAAACAAGGGAGGTCAACGGACAAAGAGGGGGACTGGATAGCATTGGGGAGGGAAACTGGGGGTTTTTGAGGGACGGCAAAAGCTCCGCATCGTCGTTACTAGACGGCACCACACTCTTGGAGATCTGCGGGCTCCCGGTTTGGAAAAGGAAAAGGGGGACGGACGGGACCGGAGGACGAAGGATGCATAAAGACGGCTCACGAGTCGGGTTCGCGCCCCTCCTTTTTCTGTTCTGGATTTTTCTTTCATTTTCGCAAACTGTTTTGCCGTTTTTTGCCGTTCCCCCTTTTGTCGTCAAAGGCCAGCAGACCCTCGAGTCTCCTCTTTTCGACACAAGAAACAACGGGCAACCATCTGTTTCGGAAATCTTGCACTTTTTCTGGTAACTAGCCGCATCATGCACTGCATCTCGGGAGAAACTGGGCTACGCGCGTGTTCATCTGTCTTCATGTTTCTCTGTTTCTCTCGCTCTCTCAAATCACATATCGATCCGCGTTGGATCGACTTCGATGACACCTGTTGCTAGGTTCTATTGTTTGGCTTCATCCGGGCGGGGGAAACTCATCATCATCATATCATTTATCATCATCATCATACCATCAAACTCATATCTCATATTCTGGGGTGTAGCGGAGGAGATACCAATGAGGCGGCAGAGCCTCCTTTTTTTCCTCTTTTATTTTCGTCATCTTTCTTTTTAGTAGTTGTTGCCAGTTGCTGTTTGTTGCTGTTCTTTATCTTGCAGTTGAAAGGGGCCGGTGGTGGATGTAAATGCGGCGGGGCCAAGACGAGAGTGTGTATGGGGGGGCAGAGAAGGCAGAGGGAATGAGCTGTGTGTTGAGGTCTGAGACCAGACAGACGACGGCGGTTTAACGTGGGTTCGGGTGGAATATGTCGTCAGCGATGCGCGCGGGCGGGAATAGTTGGGTTTAGTTTGCAGCTTTGGGCTGCTGCCTGTTGTATGTGAGATGTTTTGAGTGCGGTATATATACATATACACACATATAAAAGAAGTTCTTTGAAAAGTCTTGTGTTGTGTAGGATGCTTTACGTCTACTGTGATTCGTTCCTTCCGTGTCTAGAATGAAGTTTGTGCCTATGCCTATGAATACACGCGATCAAGCTGATGAATAACCCGCCTCCAACTACCCTCCCGATACGCCATGCAAACGGAAAAGTCAAAATACCTAAACCCCGGATGATGATGGAAACCCTGCTCTCTCTCTCTCTTTCCCTTTCCCTTACCACAACAAGACCGTGACACAAAGCCATCCGTCAGGATACGCCGCCTCCCTCATAAGGTCCTCGAGCGGCGCGGAGAAGGGCACGGGGCTGCCGTGCAGCACGACGTTAGCGAGCACGGGGTCGCGGCTGGATGGGAACAGCGTCGGGAGGTGGGCGCGGAGGGCCTGGCCGAGGGTCTGGCGGGTGTTGCCCCGGACGCCGCCGGGGACGGTGGGGGAGACGAGGGTCTGGAGGACCTTGAAGACGCCTGCTGCAGCTGGTTCTGCTTGCTGTGCTGGTGGTGGTTGTGGCCGGGGTGAGGCGCCGCCGGAGGAGGAGGAGGAGGTTGGCTCCCCGGGTGGGGAGGAGGGGATGTAGACGCGCAGGGGGATGTGGCGGAGGGGCGTTGGGGCGTTGAGGAGGATTGCGTTGATCTTTTGGAAGGAGGCGTAGTCGTTGTCTTGGACTGCGTTCCAGAGGGTTGAGGTGTCTGCTTTTGAGAGGGACATTATGCGTTTTGCGTTGCCGTAGCGGACGAAGTCGGCCTTTGCGTGTTAGTTTCTTGCTGTGATGTTGGGCCGAGGCTTCATGGTCTGGTCTGGGCTCGGGGGCGGGCGGGGGTTGAGACATGGTGGTTTGAGACATGAGTTTCTGGATTTGGGTGTTTGGGAAGGGAGGAGAAGAGAGAGAGAGACAAGAGGTGGCGAGGAAAGTAAGCGAGGTTGGGGAAGAGAGACAGAGGCTGGAAGAGGTGGAGGGGGCGCACGTGTGATGCGATGTGCCGGGTGGCTAACTCACTTCTTTGACGCAGTTCAGGAAGGTGTCGCCAATGTCCCAGCTATCGCCGTCGCTGACGGTGAGGCGCCATGGGAGGGATGGCTGGTAGAGGTCGACGAGCAGGCCGAGGGGCAGGTTGCGGAGGAGGAGCTCCTCGTGGTGGAAGGCGGAGACCTGGGCGCGGAAGAAGGCGGAGCAGCGGGGGACGAGGAGGGCGAGGTAGGAGAAGCGCGGGAGGGAGGTTATCAGCGGGGTGTTTGGGTGCGAGGGGTGGGTTATGTGGAGGGGGACTTTGGCGTTCCAGAGGGTCTGGGGGATCGAGTCCATGGTGGGTTGCGTGAGGTTGATCGTTCGGATGTGTTGGTTTGATGATGTGGATGAGGTGAGGTTGAGATGAAAGATGGACTTGATGTGAGAGAGCAAGCGGTCATGAAGTCATCGTGGTTGTCGGCGTCGTCGTCGAGGGTTGACGAGAGGCGAGACAGGGCTGTCGCACCGCGGACCGGTCTGGAAGTCGGCGGATACGGCGAGCAAGACCGGAGGAGATGTGAGGCTCTACGACGTCGACGTCGGACGTGTGGTTGCGGAGTACGGTTGCGCCGGGGTAAGGCTGAGGTCTCGGTGCGGACGCGGAGGTGGGGCGGTCTCTTTTGCGGCCGAAACAAGCCCCGCCATCCGAACAGGTCACAGTGCACAGCTCACACTGCAGCGATGGCACCTAAGCAGGTTCAACTTATGTAAGCCTTAGCTGGCCGTCTTTCCTTTTACAGCTACCCGGGCTATCCCTCCCCCTCCCCTATATTGCCGCCTAAGGGGTGCGTCCAGGCAGTAGGTAGGTACGGATACCATGGGCACGGCACACACCACCTCACCCCCAAGCTTGGAGCTCCAGCTGCCTAGAGCTCCCCGGAGCTTGCCTGAGCTTCAGCTTCAGCTTTCGCTTCCCGTCGGCCCTCAGCTCCACGTCCAACTCCAAGCCGCCAGCGCTCTTGTCTTTCTGGCAGCAGCTTGCACACGCTAAGAGAACCTGATAAAAGGGCCTGAGCGCTCTTTGGTGATTTGAGGAGCGGCAGGATTCCTCCATCACACCTCTGGCCTTGGAATCATATCGGATCCATGGGTTTAGTGAACAGAGCTGAAGTCTAGCTTTGCGACGTTGGCTTTCACTTCGCCTGCTAACTGCCCTGCTTGGCTGGACTGGTCAGACACAGAATGAGACACCTTCATCCATGATTCTGTGTCTCGCTATCTCATTACCTAGGTCGTCGGTATCTCAATTTCCAGGGCCACATCTAAGCATCATCATCAACAACATAATCATCACGGCGTAATCACGGCGCCATGTTCGAGACCGCGCCCCCCGCCCCGGTCAGCTGCATCACAGACGTCTCTGCCTTGCCAGCCGCCCGAGATTTATTAGATACACTCTCCGAAACGGTATCTCCGTCCCTCTCATCGTACACACCCGCGCATTGCATCCCGCATCGCATCGAATATGGGCAAGAAAGGAAAGTTGAAGGCAGATAATGGTTCCATCTTCAACAATGCCGCCGCCGGCCCCTTCAACAACCACCACCCCCTCCCCTCCCCTAATCGGCGGCCCGCGGATCGGCCCCCCCTCGGGAAGAAAGGAGATCAGGCAGGATGTAGATGAGGCGGGCGAGGACCGCAAATCGCTTCTCGCGGTGTGCCATCGTTTTTTCCCCTTCCTTGTTCCCCGTATCAAGGGGTGCTGGGAAAACACGCATTCACCGCTTCCCGCATCATGCATGCCAAAGTGCGAGCGAAGATAGATGTCGTGGCCATGGAGACGCACATGACCCGGCCGATCACTTACTCCCCCCCCCCCCCCCCTCGCTTCGCCTGCCAACCACCATACGTAGAAAAAAAACCGTTCGAATCATCCAACCAGGCTGACATGCGGCCCCCGTTCGTCGTGACGGTGGCAGAGAGACTTCTGGCACTTCTTATTTGTCCGTAATCATGGCTCTGCGGGAGTGAGCACCGGCGGTCATCGTGCTTGCCCACAAATATCCCGGGCAAACATCACACACTAACACACGCTGACTTGCTTGCACACACCCACGCCGCACGCACGCACACCCGCCTCTCACGTCGCACAGCGCATACAGCACACGCACACACACTCAATAATCCCCTCTGCCGATGCAACGCGAGAGAGGAGGGCCAAGAGGGTACACCGCAGCTTCTTGCGCGAGAGACATGGAAGCAAAAGCAGGAGGGATATGGAGAAGGAAAAAGCAAGAATACACACCGCGTGCGCACCCACGCCGTGGGCTCCTCCGAGACAACCCTCACTCTCTGCCGAACCGATCCAACCACGCAAAGAGCTCACGCACGAGGCCGCCTTTGGGGGGGTGTGCCGTGTGGGTGTTGATGTACTTTACAGATTCGACCACGGATGCAGCCCGCTGTGCAGGCGCAAGAGAGACAGGCGGCGGCCGGACAGCCAGGAAGAGCAAAACGAGACTCGACTGCAGTATCTCACATCCCATCTTACCGTCTCGGCGGTCAAGCGACGTCTGGCCATGCCGCGCCCGGCCTCGCCTGGCTGTGGTCTGAGGAGTGGGCATCAAATTCCCTTTTTCTTTGCAGTCGCCTGAACCTGCAACAAGCCCACGCCAGCAACCGAGAGGGGAATGGGGGATGGGGGGAGGCTCAAGAATGCGATCAAAAATAACAGAAAAAAACAGACATCTCTCATCTCACATTTGCGTCCCGCGAGGAGAATGCCATATCGATGCCTCTCGACCGTCTTAGCGCGGTTGAGTAATCGGCAATCGGGGACGCGCTATCAGATTTTCCTCAGATTGAACCCCTGCCGCCCGCCCTCACGGAGTAACCTACCTAGTGTACCATGTAACGCACGACGGGCACGACGCTTCGCTCGAGGGTCGAAAGATGGGGGACTCGTCGCGACGTGTAAGAACTTCTTTGCTTTTTCCTGTGCAGCGAATGGTATCCTCTGGGCGCGCTGCTGCTGCTGATGGTGGATATATCTGGCATGTCAGGTCCTCCGCCTCCTCATCATCAGTCATCATCATCACGCCTCCCCCAGTCTCTGCAGTCTCTGCAGTGCCTGCGTGCCGTCTGTCTGTCCTGTCCTGTCCTGTCCTGCTCATGCTCACACCCCTCCCCGTCCATCCTCTGATCACTTCTCACACTCGACAGAATCACTCAAACGAGATGGCCTGCGCAAGCACCTACAGCAGCACCGCAGCACGCGCTGCAACGCTCTCACTCAACTCACCCTCTCTTAGGTGCTGTGCTTCCCTACCTGCCTGCGTTCCGTCCTCTCCTTGCTTTCCCGTGCCATCCCCCAAAGTACCTCTCAAGTCGAGTGACTTGTCCGCAACTTTGTGCGACTTTGCTGCGCAACGAGCCCCCCCAACTCTTGTTCTGGTTCGCAACCCCCGTCCCCGTCCGTCTGCGGGCGGCCATTGCATGCATGCATGCATGGTGCCCAGGGCCGATTCACTGGATGAGAAAAAACAAATAATAAAATGCTGCTGTTCATTTTTTATTTTCGGTCTCTTAAAAAGAAGAACAGGCCCCTGTCGACGAAGCTGCCGTCTTGCACACACGCCCTCGTGATGGTGATGGCGAAGAAACCCCCCTGCCATTTCACACGCTTTTGATCACTTTCCCATCACAATCCATCACTTCCAGTATGCCGTCCCACGATGGCCGCAAAACGCAGGAAACCTGAAAATCGCGAAAACCTGTCAAATCCCCCCATCTGGGCCCTGGATCCAAACCATTGACCGCCAGGCACAGGCACACCTTCGTCTCCAGGGGCAGCTCCCCCCAAACGGCATCCCCCTACACGTCAAAGTGCCTTCGGTCCTCAATCTGGTCTAGGCTTTCCAGCACAGCACACCAACAGCCATGACACCGTCCTTCCCGCGCCCTGCGTCCCCGAAGCTTCTCCCCCAGCACTTCAACCCCCATCCCGTCCCTGTCCCCGTCACCGATCCCGGTCAGAATCACACTTTACAGAAGAAGGGTCCCCTATATCATCAAGACGCCTGGGCCTCCTCCCGGGGTTTCTAGGTGTGCGTCTGTGTGTGTGTGTGTGCCGACCTGCCTGCCTGCCTATCTACCTACCTAGCCGTAAGCAGGTCACCAGGCCTGGCAGACAGGCAAGCCACCCACTAAAACCCTTCCCGACGCAAACGCCATCGCCATCCGCTACCGCCTACCCGTCCACACAAATCCCGGCCGTAGGGGGCGCGGGAGAGGGACCTACCTAAGGGAGAGCGAGACGGGCTCAAGACGATCCCATGGCACCGGGTCGCCCGCCGATGCTCTCCAGCTCTTGCACGCCCAAGGCCCAGAACAAAAAGGATCGTCCTGTTCCGCCCTGGCTGGTGGTTTTTTTTTTTCAGAACGCCACAACGCCCTACTGCGTTGGCAATCTTGTTGTTGCCCAAACGAAGGTTCCATTTCCCAGCTGAAAGAAACACTCGCATCACCCACGCGGGACCTAAAAAGGGCCGACGCATAGGGGGCCGCACACCCATAGACTAGCGCCGCATGCTGGGCTAGCTTAGCTATCTGCGCCTTGCTTACCGCACAGTAGGAAGCTGCCGCTGAGCGCTTCTAGTAACGTAGCTCTGCCTGCCTGCCTGTCCGCACATGTCTAGATGCTTTCCTTGCCTGCCGCAGCGTTGCTTGCGAGCAGAGTCAGGCCAAGGTGAGTTACCATATTAGTTAGTTAGTTAGTTAGTTCGGCATGTCTCAGCCAATCCAACCCAGAATATTCCTGTCCCGCCAGCTTTGCTGCCTGGCAACAACCGCCAACATCGGGATCCTGTCACAGAAAGCTAGCTAGGTAGATAGCTAATTACTCGCTGAAATGATTCCAGCGCCGGCGACGTCGGCATGTTCACTTGACAAACAGCCAAGCGCTACCCACCCCCTGGCCGTCACCCACGGCATATCACGCCCTCCCAAACGGCATATACAGGGCCGCGAACAAGCCCAGAGGCAGCGAGCCTTTTGCCATGTGGGTGTGGAGGGCGCAGGCGGCCGGAACGGAGTTTGCTCCAACTAACTCGTCCGCCTGAAGGGAGATCTGTTGAGCGCTGGCCGAACACACAAGTCAGTCAGTCGTCCAGGGCGAGGCTTCCCGGAGGCGAGGAGCGGTAAAGCAGGAGGGATGGCAAGCGTGCCATGCCACCCCGGCCCGCCGAGCGGGATTGCGGGATCGCGGACGGCGCGATTCCCATCCCGCCAAGTCCTCTCCCACCATCGATCACATTTTCTGGGGGTGGGTGCCGTGCGGACTCGGCAACGTCAAAAATAAAAAAACGGCCTGACACCACCACATACCCTGCTCCTGTTACCTTTCCCCTAAACTTAACCTGTTTGTGTGAGTTTTTTTAGTTTTTTTTGGACGTTTTTGACATGCGCACAAGCTGGGAACATCGTTCGACTCATGGCCCTGGTTTTGGTCAAACTTGGCGAGGCGGGTATTTTGTCGTTTGTAGGTGTGGTGGTGGCAGTGTACCGTCCGTGTTGCAGGTGAGTTTAGCCCTGTAAACCGTTGATTCCTGTTTTCCGGCCGCGACCGCCCCTGGTCACTTGCATTGGAACTGGCTGCGAGTGTGGTTATGTGGTTTATGTGATGTGATATTTTTGCCACTCGATCTATGAGCGGGATCTGGCTGGGGATTAAGTTGTATATCGGGGCCCGGGGGCACGATCTATGAGGGAGTTGTGTTCGTTATGCTATGCCCGCTGTGTTACACTTCGTGAGATGTTGCTGGTCGTGTTGAACGGAGGATAACCACCAGAACTGGACGCTGAGCACATGCAATTGTGAAAACGTCATGGGCAACTAAATTCAACTCGAATAACAGACAAGTTCACACTTTCAATGACCCTTCGCGCATGTTGGTGATACCACACCTACTCCCCTCGATTAAGGTATTGTTGTCTTTCCACTGCATGCGTGGTGGACATTGTCCATTAGTGTTGACATTTCCATCTGTCTGTCTTCGCATGTCACATTCATGTAAGTCATAATGAAAGATCAAAGTGTGGTAATGCTAATAGTCATTAGGTCATTTAGGCTAGAGTACAAGTCTTGCTGGTATCAAATCCATCATCCATGCGCATTAAGAAGAAATCCGAATTCACAGGCCACGGTGCAGGTCCTGAGCGGACACCTTGCTGTTGCGTCTTGCGCGGTTGTGGCCGTGATCGTCGTGTGCGATCTGAGGCTCGCCAATGTGCTTCGCCAAAACAGAGGGAGGGACCTGAGCGGCATCCGTGGGGTCCTTTGCAGCACCAGTAGTGTTTCTGGTGTCGCAAGTTAGTCTTCTGTTTCGGTGGTCGCGCATGCTGGCGTTTGATCGCTTTCGGACGGGTATCGCTTACGACTGGGCGTAGGTCTTGTTGCCGCCGACGGTCTTGCTGCCGTCGAGGTCAGAGTCGACGCGGGGGTCGGCCTTGTTCAGGGCATCAGACTTGTGGGGTCCGGCGGTGTTGGGTGCGGGGCCGGTGCCGTGAACGCCGCCAACAGCGGCGCCGGTGTGGCCGACAGCAGAGTGGGTGGTGGAGGTGCCGTGGGTGTTGTGGCTGCCGGTGAGACCGGAAGAGCCGTGAGTGCCGGTGGTGCCAGTAGTACCGTGGGTACCGGTCAAGCCGGAGCCGGGAGCACCATGGTGGTCGCGGTCAGAGTCGACGCGAGGGTCGACCTGGTTGCCAACACGGCTGCCGTGAGGGCCGTGAGTGCCGGCGGGGTCGTCGTAGCCGGTGGTGGTGTTGTGAGTGCCAGTCAGGCCAGAGGTGCCGGTGGTACCGTGGGTACCGGTCAGACCGGAAGTGCCGTGGGTACCAGTGGTACCGTGAGTGCCGGTCAGGCCGGAGCCAGGGGCGCCGCGGTGGTCACGGTCAGAGTCAACGCGGGGGTCGACCTGGTTGCCGACGCGGCTGCCGTGAGGGCCGTGGGTGCCGGCGGGGTCATCGTAGCCGGTGGTGGTGTTGTGGGTGCCGGTCAGGCCAGAGGTGCCGGTGGTGCCGGTGTGAGTGCCAGTGGTGCCGTGGGTGCCAGTCAGGCCACCGGTGGTACCGGCAGTGTGAGCGTTGGAGGCACCGCCGGTGTAGCCGGCAGGGTTGGCGCGGTGGTCACGGTCGGAGTCGACTCTGGGGTCGGCGGCGTTGGCAACCTTGGAGTTGTGGGGTCCGGAGGTGCCCTCAGGCTGCTCGTGGGACTTGTCGGAGTGGAGAGCCTCCTTGACCTTGTTGACGATGGAAGACATGGTGGATGGTTTCGCGATTGGGTATCAAGAAAAGATTTCTAAATTGGTTGAATAAGAAAAGGGTTCTTGTGGTTGTTTGTTGTGAAGGTGGTTGTGGTTTGGGTATCTTGGTTTGTGATGATGAGAGAAGAGAAACCCGGGTGAGGGTGGGAGGTTGAGGAGGTTATATAGAACTGGAGGCCATGTCGAGAGAAGGCGCCATCTGCTTCCTGCCTCCTGCCTCTCCCGTAGCAGATCAGGACAGGAAGGGTCGATCGCGATCCAGGCTTGCCGTGTGAGGTGGCTGCGGCAGTCAACGGAGTGCAGGAGGGAGTTGCTGCCCACCTTACCTCACGCTGTGACTTGCAACAACCAAGGAAGCTGCACCACCGTGCCTGCGTGCTTGCTGTACCAAACGCCAACGCCATTGCCAGCACCAGCGCCAACCGATACCGACAGGCGCCCGAATGCGTGTTGGAGACAGAAGACACGCTTGCGCTCTTACTTCATACATCGTCATAGGTCTTGGGCGCAGCTGTCTCATCGGGATACAAGCTTCATCTGTCAACCACTCGGGACAGGGAGCTGATACGCCGGTGCGTCTCCTCCGGCAGAGACCGGGGCCCCTGGCCAATTGGGGGGCGGCAATGGCCTAGGCCCAGCCTGCCACGGCTGGATGACGACCGGGGGGGGAGCACCTTGGGGAGTTGGCTTGCTTGCGTGACACTGGCGCTTGTTTCCGTCAAGCCTCGTCGATGTGATGGGGCGGCCATTGCCTTGTCGGGGCTTGCAAGGGCTTGGGGGCGAACAGGCGTGGCATTCAGAGTTCTCGATCTGGCTCGGAGACCCTACAAACACGTAAGAAACCAAGGGATTTTCGTCATAAGTGGGAGCAACGGCGGGGTCACGGTGGTTGAAGAGGAGCGAAGATCTGTGGCTAGTGACGTTTAGGGCTGTGGAAGGAGTGAAAAGGCAATACGGATGGCAAAGTCCATACTCCATACCCATGCAGCGTTGCTAGACCTGGACACCTTGCCTCCGATCAGGTACGCTACCCACACGTGGAGGGGGAGGGGGAGGAGCTAGGTACTTCAGCTTCGGTACGTTTCCTCGTTCAAGTGCTTCAGTTGGTTGACAGACTACCCTCTGGTGGCATGTTCGAACGGTACAAAGTCTCAAAAACCAAGCTCCAGAGCTGCTCTCTAGAAAACCGAACAAACAGCGTACCGCCGCCGCGCGTCGTGTCTCACCGGTCTAGCACGGGCTAAAAGGGTACGAGCTGCAAGACATCGGGGTCGCTGGGTAAATGCGGATCAAACGCAATTCACGGGGCGCGGTTGTACGAGCAGGCACAGAAAAGACGTGCTTTGGTAGGTACTGGGGCTGAGGTTTGACGTTCCCGAAGGTGAGAACCAAGGCAGCGGAGAGACAGAGCTCCCAAGGTCATCCCCGCCAATGACGCAGCGCGGACGCACGGCTGATCCGCCCCTCCTGTGGCGTAAGCTCCCCCTTGTCGCGCTACTGCCAGTGAGGCGGGGCTCGAGTGGCTGGTGACGACTTAGCGCCAATGACGGGAGATTGTGATGTGGCTAGTGCGTATCTCTTGGCCCCCAATCCTTCAACCTCTCGGGGCTCGACTGTGGCGTCACCTACCCCATACGATGCGGTCATCGACCTCTCAGCTGTGCATATCGTGGCGCCAGCTCCCCTCAGCAACGCGGTATTGCGGGGCATTACGCCATGCGGCTCTCATCAGACAACACAGTCCGTCCCATCCTGTTTCCCGCCGCCAAGGTATCCTCCCACCCATCTCGTCAGCCAAGATACCTCCCTCTCTGTCACTATGTTCATCTTTCACGTTCTTTGGCTCCGGACTGAACTCCAGTTTGACTGAACATCCCGGAACGCTGAAGGCGAACCCTTACGTTCATCCCTCCTCTGATTCCCGGAAATAGCCACACACGATCGCCCAGAATTGGGTCATTGTGAACGGAATTTTGCGCAATTCCCATCCCTAGCTCGCTGTAACTTTGCTTCACACAGCCCGCCGTGCCTTACATCAACTCATGTCTCAGTACCCCTCTCGTTTCCCTCCTGCAAATTCCTACCCCGCCTTCTTTCTCCCTCCCAAAAAAAGGCGTTGCTGCGTGACCTGTTTCTAGAGCCGGCCCCCCTTTGCCGCCAAGCTAAAATAATGCAAGCCAGCCGCCGTTTTCCGCATGTCGTCGCACGTTTTCACAAGAAGCGGTTTCACCACAAAACCTGGCTTTTTCTTGCTCCTAGCATCTAGTCCGAGCTCGAGGAAGAGCTAGGGAAGGACGGTAAGCTCGAAGCGGTCTGGTACCTTGGGGCCCTCTAGCAGCCGCAGGACCGGCGCTTCTACAGACCCATGGACCGCGGATCGTAGAATTCTGTACAGATCTCAACTCCACAGAGAAGGCCCTGTACACACGAGGGGAGGTTTCTCGGTTTCCGAGGCCTGCTTGTGGTTTTTCGCGGGATGGGATACGTAATTTCGATTGCAAATGGCACAACGCTGAGAACGGCTAAGGCGAGTGAGCGCAGCCCCCCGCTTGACCGCTTAACCTCCTCGAAGCGGGCTAGTCGTCTCGGAGGGGGGCATAGGCAAGAATATGGGGAAACCTGTTTGACAGCGAGACAAGCGTCCGAGGCATTTCTGGGGGCCTACGTTCTGGAGCGGTCGAAATCTTGCAGCCGTGGCCGAAAGCCAGTCACGAGAGCGATGCTGATCGGAGATCTGAGCTTGAAGTGATTTTTTTTATTTTCGTTTCGGTCGCGGAGACGGGGGCTGTTTTCGGAACGGCATGGCGGCTGCCGATACGAGGCGGTCAGCGAGGGAAATCATGCAACCGAGGCATTGTTGTTCCTCCCTCTCCGCTTGCTCGTGCAGGTACAGGCCTTGGCCGGCAGTGTGTTTGTGTAGGTGGTCGAGCTGGCTAATTTGCGCGGTTGTACGGGAGATCGATCCTCTTCATCTCGCTTGCTGTCGCTCCGAGCAGATGTCGGGATTACTGCTTTGTCTTCCAATCTCTTTCCCCGTCAAAGCTTCGTTTTGAATGTTGACGCATACGTCATTTTTATCCTGGCGAAGAGTGGCGGTTGCTGAGGTACGGGTTTGCGGATTCAATGTTTCACTGTTGCGGCGCCATACTGAGCACGTCGGGTGCCGAATTATCCATTGGCGTGAAGACGGTCTTGATCCGAACTGCTCAGGATCTAGACAACGCAAGATCGACACTTCCGAATGACCTGATGTTTTGCGTCAGTCTCTTCATGACGGGTCTAAAATGTAGCACCATTATATACTGGTGAATGAGGTGATGCCAGATAATGCATTGCTTCAGTCGCCCCAAAAAGGCGCCAAGACATACACATTGGTTTGAATTGGAGGATCACCGAAAGCGACCGAAGGAGTTTCTAGCCTTGATAAGAGGAAACTGCTACCTACGGCCCTTCTTTTGATCTCATCACCAACGGGAGATGATGGGAGACGATGGGCAGCTAGTTGACGCAACCTCTTAGATGGATATATTTTGCAGTAGTGGCGATCCCGTCAAGACGCAGCCGACTCTGCCAAGTCACCGTGTGCCTCTTGATGCTCAAAGTAGCATATCTTAGTCCGCTGAAGTAGACAGGTATAGATAATGATCGTGGATGTCTCGATGAAGCGGCCCCCAGAGAGCGCCGCCATGGCGGGGCCGTTGAAGCCAAGCCCCCGGAAGTGGAACCATTTCCCCGAATCGCCAGGACGTCAGCCGCCGCAACGCCCTACCCGTTCCCGCGGGTGGGTCACCCGTTTACCGGCATCGGCTCACCCGCACTAAGCCGATGCGTCTGGCAGTAGCATTCCCCGGCTTATCTTATCGTGTAAATGCATCCAAATCTTCACTAGAACTTGGAAGATGTACTGTAGGTTAGTGAGATAAATCGTGGGGAAATGGACATATTCCATACAGTGAATGATAAACTTCAATATGCATTATACCTAGACATTTAAGGGGATTGCATGTCACTGGGTGAACATTGATTCAAGTGCATTGTGATATTGTAGTGTGGTATTACAGTAGAGTAGGTAAAATTGTACAAGGTCGTGGGGGTATTATGGGGGGTATCAAGTGTTCCAAATCGAAGCCTTCAATCTTCCTTCTCATACACTTCGTTAACATGGGAAAATGACATCCAAACATATCTCTCCCGCATCACAGCCCATCGAGGGCCGTGCGTATTATACGAGAATGATAAGACGATGTCCAATGCCTTGAGGGATTGCAATCTCGCGGCATACACATACAGGTTTGCCTAGTTGCTGCTTAGACGCGGGAGTTGTACCAGCGGCGGCGGTGGACAGCAGGGCGGTTGTCGGCGACAGCAGTGCGGCGGCGGACCCAGAAGAGGCCGATGAGGGCGGACGCGAGCCAGACGATGGCGGAGAGGAAGGTGAAGGCGATGTTGGCCTTGTGGCGTCCGCAGTCGTCGCCGCGGGGGCTGACGTTGCTCCAGTCGAAGACGGGGCCGCAGCCATCACCAATGAGCTGAAAGGCTTCTGTCAGTATTTTCATGTGGTAGGTGGTGTGTGGGAGATGACTTACGTTGACGAGCAGACCAAAGGAGACAAACCAGAGGATGCTGATGAAGATGTCCATGGGCCAGTGGACGAAGCTGCCCGAGAATGGCAGCAGCCAGACGAGCGCGAAGACCATTGAGATGCTGGACACCACGATGGTGTAGATGAAGCGGCCGTTGTCCCACGAGGAGGCGTTGTCGTGGGCGTGGAGGTAGGCGCCGGTGATACCGGTCACGATGGCGGCGAAGGCCAGCTCCGCGGCGCGGAAGATCATTTGCACAATGCGGTCGATCGCCATTTTGGTGGTTCGTTTCTTTCTTGCTTATGAAAAAAAGGTAAAGTTGATTTGTCGGGATGTTGTGGCCGTTGCACAGGGAAGTGTTTGTTGATCTACTGGTGGTTTGTCTGGTCTGAGGAACAGGAAGGGATGGGAGGGAACTGAGATGGATAGTCTATTTATGAACGTCCGGGATGAGCCAAGACAAGACAAGACTCACGAGGTGTGAGAAAGGTCTGGATCGGACCAACAGGAGTCACATCAGGATGACGCCCACGGCCAGAAGCAGGTTTGGACGAGGAAGGGAAAATTGGCGGCCACCTCCCTTGACAAACTTACACCGTCATCTCGTCACCGCGCCGAGATGAGCCAACAGGGCCTTTTCTTCACGGCTCGGCTTGCTAGCTTGTATGTGTGTGCCACTACATGGATAGAACGCGGCACCAGAGCAAACGAGTGTGTAAGAGTGGTGTAACAACAAAGTCCCGAGACCTTCTTTCCTCCTGCAGGACGGGGGGTGAAAGAATGCTAGACCCTGCCAAGATCGCTCGCGTATTGCCGGCATCTCAGAAAAAGGGAGGGAGGGAACAAGGGGATGTTGGCTAACGTCACTGGGACTGGCATCGCGCAGCGGCTTCGTGGCACGCTCTCGAGAGTCTGTGAGCGCTGCTAGGCCAGGCCCAGAACCAGCGAGAAATGGACGGCGGCGCTTGGTACCCTGCATATGTGCCATTCAAATGAGGTCATCTGGCTAGGGGAGGAAATGGGCAGACGGGAAGGACGGGTGGGCTAGGGCTGGGGGTGGGCTCTGATAGGGCGGCGCGTGGAGGCAGCCCGGGTCGTGAGGTTTGAAACAAGCCTTTGCGGGGGCCGCGATGGGATGTTGCGACCCTGCAGGCTGACGGCCTATCCTTTTTTCTGGCTCTGTTTGTAAATTGCTAGCCTGCTTAGATTGAAGTCGTTATAAAACTCGGTGTTCGCATGTTGTCAGCCAATGCGCGCGGTCGTCTGGGCGGCAGAAGTAAGTTCAGCGCCAAAGAGCCGAGACACTGAAGCCAAGAAGAAAGAAAGTATCTAGGCCATCATGACTTTGGAGTTTGGGCGAGCTGGGCTTGCTGTCGTATGACCTCATCACGATATTTGTCGACTGAGACGTACAGCGTCGTAATCCTGCCTTTGCGAGCCTGAAAAACCGACCCTGAACTGAGTAATACAAACACGGAAGCTCGGCAGGAACATTTCACGTCGCGACTCATCACCAAGAACGAGGCCCCGACGTCGCGAAACCTGTGGCGATCGCTGTGGCTTTCGACGAGCCCAGAATGCTCCCGATCGGCGAAACGGGCAGCGATGGGCGCATCACAGGACCTGGATGGGGTGATCTGTGTGGCTAGTGCCCTGCCTGGTGACTCAGGAAAAGTTCCTTTTCGGGCATGTCGTCGCCCAAGACGCGCAGAAATCAGGGCTGCGGCGCGCGTCGCAGACGGGAAGACAAAGGTGAAAGTGACGTCATTTCTTCATTTCCCCTTGGGGGTGTGGTGTTGTTGCGGCAGGGCCATCGGCCCAACCAGCTTCAGCCACATGATTCTCAAGCCCCCCGGGGGGCTTGTTGTGGCAGCAAATGAGACCAATTTCTCATGCACGTTTGATGACCGAAGAATGAAGTGGCTAGACCTCCCGCGCTCATCAAACGGCGTCCGCTTTGGTTGCATCGTGTTGTCGTAGCGCCTTCTCTACAACGCTGCAGCGCAGTGCATCGCGAGACTAGAGAGCCCCCCTCCATGTCGGTACTTGAGCGCTGGTGCGCCGCCGGGCTGATGCCCTCGAATCGTTACGTAGGGCCAAGCGCCGTGTCCGCTTCATTTCGTTTGCGCGCCGGACTGGTCTCCTAGGCTCTGGGCGGTCGATTTCGAGATGGGGGCTTCGATCCGGTCGGTGAGTGGGCCACGGCCACGCGTTCGCTTTGGGAGGGTGATGTTGTCCAAGACTTCGAATGGAAGCCGCCGTGCCGTCTTTCCCTTTCCCATCGCAGGTCTGGTCTGCAGAGGGAAATACTGTTCATCCGACAATGAAGAACTTGGCGTCGATTCAAGGTTAGGGAAGGATGCGATGAAATGTGCTGCGCGGAACAAGTCCGCATTTGTGGAGACACTGCGGAATATTTGACCTCGGTCTGGAAGGTTACCGGCACCTTGTGGGTCTATTCTTCGGCTTTTACCCCAGACTTCTCGGTGGAGCCCCACAAATTGCCGACCCCGCGTGTCTCACATCGTCCCGGGAGTCTGGATTCATCCTTCCAGCATGAATCCGACAGATATAAGATAGTTTTCGAGGGCTTTAGAGCTTGAATTTCAGTTTGAGACATTGGATTGAAGTGTCACGTGCAGTATTTCGAAGAATCCGAGACCATCCGACATGAAGCCTTCTAGCTCTAACACGGGCTTCTTCCAAGAACTTCCGGTCCTGCCAAACCAATTTTTTGATGATGCCAGCTTTCAGAGAGCATTGAGACGTAAGAAATGGCGTCCCGATGATTTGTTCTACTGCTGATTGTATATAGTTTTCGTTCCAAAAGATGTCGTCAGCCGTGTTGAGGTCGAGATCGCCCAACTCGGCGAAGACGTCCTGTCCGACCAGGTTTTCGAATGGGTCACGGAATCTGAACACAACAAGCCGTACCTGAAGGGCAACGGCCGCGATTCTTTTGGGAGGCCAAAAACCGAACTCGTTGTCGGCGAGGGATGGCGCGGCCTGCAGAACTTTGGCATCGCAAAGGGCATCGTCGCCACCGGATACGACACTTCTCTCGGGTCGTCTGCTCGCGTGATCCAGTTTCTGAGAATACACCTATGGAGCCCCTCCGCGTCGAATGTGACCTGTCCGTCGGCCATGCAAGACGGCGCGGCGAGACTGCTGCAGCTGCACCTGGCTAACGGCGATCTGGATCCCACTCAACGCAAAGTTCTCGACAACGCCTTGCAGCACCTCCTGTCCAGAGACCCCGCAAAGGCATGGACCAGTGGACAGTGGATGACGGAACGAATCGGCGGTAGCGATGTGTCGCTTACGGAGACAGTCGCGACGTACGAACCGTTAACGCAACCAGGCCTGGCGAACGCCGAGGAAAACGTCCCTCTCGGCCCGTGGTCTATATCCGGCTTCAAGTGGTTCTCGAGTGCTACGGACTCGGCGATGAGCGTCCTTCTGGCAAGAACCCAAAACGGCATCAGCGCATTTTACGCGCCAATGAGGCGGCATGATCCGTCAGCAAAGACCATGATTGGGAAGTCCAAAGGAACTGGCGGAATGGAGTTGAACGGGGTTCGGATCCAACGACTCAAGAACAAATTCGGTACCCAGTCTCTGCCCACCGCTGAACTAGAGCTGGAGGGTATGAGAGGCTGGTTACTTGGAAAGGAGGGCCGCGGCATCAACGAGATCAGCACGATTCTCACGCTCACGCGGATACACTCTGCCGTTGGTGCTGTGAGTTACGTTGGCCGCGGGTTAGCCATCGCGAGAGCGTATGCCAAAGTTAGGCAAGTTGGCGCGGGACGAGGCAAGAGGATGCTGCTCGCCGAAAGCCCCTTGCACATGCAGACACTGGCAGATATGACCGCAGAGTATCACGGTCTCATGTTGCTTACATTTTTCACATCCTATCTCTTGGGCTTAGACGAGCACCCTCAGACGAAGAAGTCAGGGCTGCCCCCGCCGCTTGCCTCTATAACCCCAGACCAAAAGCACATCGCACCCCTGCTGCGAGTTCTCACGCCGCTCTGTAAGGCGTACGTCTGCAAGAAGTCGATCCCGCTGCTGTACAGCTGCATGGAAGCTCTAGGTGGTGTCGGCTACTTAGTGAACGAGGAAACAGAGTACCTCAATATCTCACGCATCTATCGCGACTGCTGCGTCCTCTCAATCTGGGAAGGAACGACCGATGTTCTGGCAACAGATTTCCTGCGGGCGCTGAAACATCCAAAGGGTGGCCAGGAATCCATCGATGCCCTGGACGCCCTCCTCGGCAACTCGAACAACTGGTCTCAGGTTGCCGAGGCGAGTTCCTCCGCATGGACGCCGTCCGACTCATGGCAATCAGTCAAGACGGAGATAACACGGGGCTCGCAAGAGGACCTCGTCGGAGATGCGCGGTCGATCCTGTGGACGGTAGCTGAGGCTCTCACGAGGGTGCTGCTACACGCGGACGCGAGCAGGGATGGCAGCGAGCCGGCGTTCGATATACTCTCGCGCTACAGGATCCGCACCAGAGGTGAGACCTCTGTCGGCAGAGCGGCTAAGGCTTCGGACGAGCCGCAGGGCAGCAAGGAGAGGCTCGCGAGGAACCATGCCATTGTGTACGGACGGTCGGGAGGGCCAGATGCGTCGCCGGCGCTGTCAAAGTTGTGATTGATAATGGTGACTGGTTCTCAAGGCGTGTGTAATTTCAGGGTGTGTGTGCTGCGAGGAAGGAACGGTGTTCTCTCATGGAAATTCCAGTTTCTCTGATCTCCCACGTGGCGTCCCGATGCTCCCGTGAAGTCTGACAACATGCGTACGCAAAGCGCAGCTCCCTCCACGATCGACACGGGACCAATTGACAAAGGCCGTCCCCTAAAGATCGGTGGTTTTGCAGTTCCAGACGACGGGCTCAAAGCACAGAAAGCCCTGCCGATTAAGACAGCGCAGCTATGTACGTGCGCGGGTGCAGTAGCTAGTCTGGGATTCCTGTCGCGATGATCCCCCACCACCCGTACCTCTGGTCGATTTCGAGCCCCCGATTCGCGAGTGACAAGGAGGTCCGAGGGCGGCCCTAGCTCCAATTGCAAAAGGAAAGTCTGTTTGATCAGTAGCAATTGGGTTACTTTGGGACTAAATAAAGTTTCAGTCCGGGCGGCGTGTTAGACGTGTCGCTTGCTCCTTTGACCGGGATGATGCTCGCCGAGGTGCGTCTCTTTGTTCGCTGCTGGGTGCTCCCCCCCGCGCCGCCCGTTGTCTCCCCTCTCGACTGCAAAAGAGCAGCAGCAGAAATCAAAGACCTGAGGACGCGATTCAAAGAAGCTCCAACCGGGTGTTTCTTGTCCCGTCGCCGTCCAGTATCTTTTGTGAAAATACAAGCTTCTCCCGTCGGCACGAATTTGCTCGTCCCATGGGAATGGATCCTCAACCTGCCCCCACCCCCCACCGAATGACATCTCGCCGACTTCAGCTTACTTCGCTGATGATACCTGTGCCATCGACGATGCGCGGATGCCCGACCCCGTCGAGAAGGAATCATGCGGGGACCAAGTTCGAATGTGCACTTGGAACAGGACGACACTTATCTGCCTGAGGTCTGGGTGAGTTCGCGCGTCCCTGCTTGCCGCTTCGACTTGGGTGATTGACATTGACAATTGGTTCAGACGTGGTATGCTATTGGAGTGTTCGTGATACTGTTGCGATACGCGGTGCGATTTCGAACTGTCGGTTTTTGCGGGTTTCGGGGCGATGACTGGCTTGCTCTGCCTGTGTGTTATCCAATTGCTCTCGCACTGAAAAGATTCATGTCTAACAGCCCCTAGTACCTCGCCTTGTACTCGTTGAACGTATATATCGTCCAGGTTACGTATCACACGGGCGGCAACATCGACGTTACCGCGGACGCAGTCAAGTCGCTTTCGGAAGACGACGTTCGCATTCTTGAGCTTGGATCGAAGTTGGAGTTCATATCCTGGTACTCATACCCAGGCTGTATCTGTAAGTTTGGCGTATAGTAAAGACGCGTGATGCGCTTTAATAACATCGAATAGGGGTGCTGAAGTTTACCGTACTGTTCTTCTATAAGCGCCTGACTTTGGGAATCCTTCGACGAAAGACACTCATCACGCTGTTTTGGTTGTGCGGGCTGTCATACATTGCTTTGTGCCTGACCGTAACGCTAAGTTGTCAACCGTACGTCCGGCAGACAACATCAAATGGAAGTGATTCTGACATCAGGTGCTAGATACTCCGACAACTGGCGAATCCGACCACTACCAGGCCCCGAGTGCACATTTCGACCGCAGAATTTCTGGATGCTCCTGTGGCTGAACATTCTGACCGACGCCGCCCTCCTTTCGATCCCAATACCGATTCTGTGGCACCTCCGCGTAACACTGCGCCGCAAGATCGGAGTCGCCATCCTCCTATCATCAGGCGTCTTCGTCATATCGACAGCAATCATACGAGCGGTGTCCACACTCACAGGAGCGCCGTCCGTGATCAACATCAACCGATGGGGCTTCCGAGAGCTCGGCGTCGGCCTCGTGACCGTGACGCTTCCCGTGCTGAGCCCCATCTTCACGAGGCCCTTCTGGCGGCGGGGGCCGTACATTCGCGACTACTACGACCGACTGCGAAACCCGAGATCGCCAATCAACAACGCGAGGTTCGGCAACTGGCTGGGCACTATGGTACTGCGGTACATTGACGAGGAGGAAGGGGCAGTCTTCCGGGAGCCCGATTCGGCCAAGGCGTTGGAAGATGCCGGGTATCAAAAATATGCGCAGAGGGCGGGCTCGGCTAGGAAAAGCAGCAACGAGACCTACGAATTGGAGACGACGAGCGGCGGGACGAGCGCGAAAAGCATCACGGGCATCGAACCGGCATGATATACTGATTGATACACCAAAATAAGGGAGGGGGACTATGAGCATTTTGGCAGCGGAACAACAGGACAGCATACCCTCACGTCTTTGATATATGGTAATGTAATTTATGATATCCTACGCATAAACGGCCTTAAGAAGAAGAATGGAAGAAATTGGAAAGAGTCGATGGTATATTACTCGTGCTTAGCTCCTAATAACCAGCCTGCTTCGCCATTCCAATGGGCGAGGCGTGAACCATGATAGTGATAGGCATACCTCTTACTGCCACATGTCTGGACAGTCAACGGACTCTTCACAAGACCGTCATTCGTCCGGCGCTCCGTGCAGTCGGCAAGCACGCAAACCGAAAGCACGTATGGGACGTTGTTGGGATGAGTCTATTCGCTTTCGAATTTCATCCAAACTAAAGCGAGAAGGGTGGTGTACATGACTCAACCAAGGAGGAACAAGCTGAGCGATTGGCTTGTTGCTGATCAGAGCGCCAAATACACTGCATGGATTCGTCCACGGCGTTTGTTCATCCTGTCGGCACCCGAGCCTGCGGTACACCTCTTCTTGCTGCTGTACTGTGATGATGTTGAGTTTGAGGTTAGTCATTTCCACGAGGAAAAAGAAAGCTTCAGAGGGGCACTGTCTCAACGAAGCTCGTGATTGGCCAATTCGACCTGGATTGGACCCCGCGACCCCACGAGCGATAACCCCGCCGACCCAAGCTCATGGCTAGCTTCAATGAGAAGCTCTTCAACTTCACTCTCACTCTCACCTGCTTGCTCACGAGTTGACTCCCGAGTGAGAGTAACACAACAGTCACCGTCACCATGGAGGATCTCGTGCGTTCGTTCAACGCCCTTCATCGGCCGCGCACCACTCCCACCGGCCTTCCCAACCACTGGGTCTTCACCGTGAACCACGTGCCGCTTCAACCACCTGGCGACGTCGTCTTTGCCGTTCACCCACAAAGCAGATTTGTTCTGCAATCTGGACCGGGCCAAATAAAGTCTCTGTCTACCGCCGCCGAAAAGGCGGAAGCCGTCATCCCACTCCTTCTCAGTACGTTCATCAAGGGCAGCGAATCTCCCGGCGGCAGACAACCAGACGACCCCATGCCCTTCGCCCCCTGGACCTGGTCCATCGATGAGCCCCAACTGTCCGCTGCCATCGAGGCCGGCCTCAAGAAGCACGGAGTTAAGGAGGAGCTTTGCAAGCTTGGGGCCAGCACCGCCGAAGAACAGGAGATTCTGAAAGACTCGTGGCTTCGTGTCGTGGATAGAATGATGCAGTTCCTGGGCGGAAACATGCCTGCGCAGTCTGCGATCAGCCCGGGCGACCGCTCAAAGTGCCACGGCTGCGGAGCGGACAGCGCCAGCTTCTCGCAGCCGCTGAAGAAGTGCTCGGCGTGCAGCCAGGCGTGGTACCATTCGCAGGACTGCCAGAAGACGCACTGGAAACAGCACAAGCCTACCTGTCTTGCCAACCGCCCGAGCAAGGCCCCAAGAAACGGCACGATCAGCTCGCCTATGGAGGCCATGGGAGGGTCATTCGCGAGCCCATCCATGAACATGAGTGATGATGACGCCGGCGAGGAGGCATACAAATATTACAACAAGACTGCGCGCGCCAAGCCTGAAGCGCAGGCTCTGATGAGGGATCTTGGTCTTGCAGTTCCAGGCTCCGGAGCTCCACCCGAGGGCATAGCGTAAGCTCCCGTCATACACGCAACAGGAAAGTCATGAGGAAAACCAGTAGCTAACGCCATGCAGCAAACCAGTGCGCCGCCTCATCCTCGCAGGAAAGGACACGCCTGAGAACATGGAGCTGTTCTACGGACCACACTGGCGGGCGGGAATGGGCAAGGAGCACCAGGACAGCAGAATGGAAATCCTCCTGAACCCGCCTCGCGGCTCGCCGAGCTATGCGATGAACAAGTGGTTAGATGAAGGCGCGCCTGCGAGATCTCCCCGTCCGGCGACGGAAGACGAGAAGACGAAGATCCAGCAAATCAAGGAGATCCAGGAGAAGGTTCGACAGAGGGTCGGTGCCGGCAAGCAGCCCAGCGGATCTGACATGCAGGCGATTCTCAAGTCGTTCGGAGCGGAATGGGGCACCATGATGCCCCTCTACACGCTCGCCGTCAACACGATGGACCAAGGCGTTCAGGCACCTAGCTGAATGCCCTGGTCGATAAGCTAGGAGGGTTAGAAAAAAGGTCTGGAGTTACTCGGGATGTGAGGTAGCTTGGGTTGAGATGGCGCAGAAAAGATTTCATCATGGGTATCAAAATAAAGAAAAAGAGACGGCTGCCTCTTGTCGCTGTACCGTCTTTCGTCGCCCATGCCTCTTTCTCCTGTTTGAAAGCCCCATTGCCTTCGAATCATTCCACGGCAGCATCGGAAATACCGTCATTTCAATCCCGTTTGTGCCGGCTCAGAGAGGTGAATTGTCTGAGTTACAACAATCAAGTCGGGGTGTTCAGACGTTACCTATGTAGGGTAAGCCCAGGCAGGTTCAGAATTGCCCCGCATTAGGCACCCGCCTCGGCAGCCCGCCATGGTTCTTCAGCACAATTTAGTGCTCCCGCTGCGCTAAAGTCGCGTCGTCGCGTCTTCCCACCCCGCCATCATCCACTTCCCTGCGTCATCTACCCAGACCAAGCGGCGAACCATGCGACTTCCTCCACGATGGTCGCCCAGAAGGAAACCGCGATAGTCATATCCGATGAAGAAACCGCAAGCGACATCAGCGAGCCGAGGCGACCGACCGAGAAAGCCCTTGGCAAGCGCAAAAGTGACCTCGTGGACTTCGAGGTGAAGGAAGTCTGGGATGACGACTCCGACGAGGAGCTGCCCAAACTGAAGAAGCGCAAGGCGCAGCTCACATCAGGCCGGAAGGGGAAGGGCAAGGCGAAACCCAAAGCGAAGGGAGGGAAGAAGGCCGCCGCGAGTAGCAAACAGCCGGACGATACCGACGAAGACGAACTCGACATCGCACAGGTACCCGTGTACATCAAAGAACGGAGGAAGAAGTTCGACGACAAGCGCGAGAAGTTACGAGACGCCGGACTTCTTCTGCCGCCAGAATACCACGACTTCAAGTTCTCCGAGGACGAACGAGGACTACCCCCGGAGCGGCGACCGAAGTTTGACGAGAGCTCCAAGATCAAGCCATGCCGACCATACAAAGACATCGAGCTGGAGTACTCGGCGGGCGTCATCCCAGCGTCCATCGCGCAGTACCTCCGCGACTACCAGATCGTCGGCGTCAAGTTCCTGCACCGCCTGTTTGTGTACCAAAGAGGTGGCATCCTAGGAGATGACATGGGCCTTGGCAAGACGGTGCAGGTTGCCAGTTTCCTAACGGCGGCGTTCGGGAAGACGGCCGACGAGCGTGATTGGAAACGACTGCGCAAGATGCGCGATGAAGCGGGGCGGTGGTATCCCAGAGTGCTGATCATCTGCCCGGGCTCCATCATCGAGAACTGGAAGATCGAGCTGAACCGTTGGGGCTGGTGGAAGGTTGGTGTCTTTCATGGCCCCGGAAAGGAGGATACCTTGGCTTCGGCCCGGTCTGGTCGGATCGAGATCATGATCACCACGTACACAACCTACAAGAACCACCAGAGCTATGTCAACACGGTCAAGTGGGATGCCGTGGTAGCTGACGAGTGCCATCAAATCAAAGAAAGGAGCTCGGAGATCACCAAGGCCATGAACGATGTCAACGCCCTTTGCCGTATTGGCTTGACGGGTACAGCAATTCAAAACAAGTACGAGGAATTATGGACACTTCTGAACTGGACGAATCCCGGTCACTTTGGTACCCTATCAGAGTGGAACAACACCATCACTAAACCTTTGAAGACAGGCCAGTCGCACGACGCGACACTCATCCAGTTGAAGAATGCCCGCCTTACCGCGCGCAAGCTGGTCAATAATCTGTTGCCGGGCTTCTTCCTCCGAAGGATGAAGACACTCATCGCCCACCAACTTCCCAAGAAGACGGACCGAGTTGTCTTTTGCCCGCTCACTGAATCCCAGCAGGAAGCGTACAAGAACTTCCTCAGTAGGCCTGATGTTGAGCTTCTTCGTACGCTTTCAAACCCGTGCGCGTGCGGATCAGGCAAGGGCCAGGGTTGGTGTTGCAAAAAGACGACCGAGGATGGGACGCCGTGGCAGTCTATCATCTTTCCGTGTGTCGTCACTTCTCAGAAGCTGGTGAACCATCTCACTCTGCTGGTACCTCAAGGCACAGAGACCGACGATAAGCACAAGCGTGAGATGCGCACTCTACGACACTGCTGCCCAGACACTTGGAAATCTCTTTACGAAAACCGAGACGCGATCATGTACCTAGCGAACCCTGAGTTCTGTGGCAAGTGGAAGGTCCTCAAGAAACTTCTCAGGTTCTGGCATGAGGCCGGCGACAAAGTCCTCGTGTTCTCTCACAGCGTACGGCTGCTGAGAATCCTCCAACATCTCTTCCACAACACCAGCTACAGCGTCACTTACCTCGATGGCGGCATAAGTTATGAAGACCGACAGAAGGCCGTGGACAATTTCAACTCCGATCCGACTCAGTTTGTCTTCCTCATCTCGACCAAAGCTGGCGGCGTTGGCCTTAACATCACCTCGGCAAACAAGGTTGTCATCGTCGACCCGCACTGGAACCCATCCTACGACCTCCAGGCCCAAGACAGAGCCTACCGTATTGGCCAAGTCCGTGATGTTGACGTCTTCCGTCTTGTCTCCTCCGGCACCATTGAGGAGATCGTCTATGCCAGACAAATCTACAAACAGCAGCAGGCAAACATTGGCTACACGGCCTCCTCCGAGCGCCGCTACTTCAAGGGTGTGCAGCAAGATACCGACCGCAAAGGCGAAATCTTTGGCCTCGAGAATCTTTTCACCTACCGCGAAAACCAGCTCGTCATCCGCGACATCGTCAACAAGACCAACATCGCAGAAGCCAGAGTCGGAAACGACATCGCAATGACCACCGTCGACATGGAGAACCTCGTCAAGGAGGAAGACCTCGGCGGCGCCGTCAAACAGGAACCCGCAGACGCAGAAGACGCCGGCATGTCCCAGCTCGCCGCCGTGCTCGCCGCCAAAAACCAGAAAGACTACCTCGGCACCGTCAAATCCCAACAGCCCAAGTCCGACGCCGTGCAAGCCATCCTGTCCGCCGCCGGCGTCGAGTACACCCACGAGAACTCGGAGGTCATCGGCACCTCCAAGGTCGAGGAGCAGCTCTCGCGCAAGGCCGAGATGGCCGCGAGCTCCGACGTGGACCCGGAGGGCGACGGCGCTCTCTTTGCCGACAGTCAGGTGTTTGACGCGCACGCGCAGAAGCTCAAGGGCTTCTCGTACGTGTACAACCCGCCCGAGGACGTGATGCGGCGGCAGTTCTGCTCGATGGCCAAGGAGTTCGGCTTTGGCAGCGCGACGGAGTTCGCGCTTGTCGTGGGCAGCTGGACGCAGACGCAGAGGCGCAACTGCTTGGAGGCGTTTTACCGCATCCGCGAGGGGAAGCTGTTGGCTGAGGAGACTGTCAAGGCGGAGGAGGAGGTGAAGGTCGAGGTGAAGGCCGAGACAGACCGATATGACGCCGATTTGGATGCCGAGACCGATTATGAGAGTGACCATGCGGAGGAGGCGGTGAAGAAGGAAGTGGTCAAGACCGAGTCCGTTAAGGGGGACGTCGGCGTTGTTCCTTCGAAAACACCCATTTGGATATACGACTCGGATGATGATGAACTTTAGGCGTTTTGGGACGGACATGATACCCCATTGTTTAGATGGATAGAACGGTAGAACGTTGAGATCTTGATTAATAGCTCTCCTTTGCGGGCCTCGACTGTATTACGATGACAACATGGGCCCGAATTTCGGCCGAATTCGGTGGTTTTCTGCCCCTTGGTATGTAAGCCGGCTCGGACTACCACGGACAACCTCGGTCAGCAGTGGGCTGTCCGAAGTCCGGGGCACCGACGGGCGCGGGCCCGCAAGGCGGAGTCTCCGACGGAACCACCCATAGCAATCAATTTAGCGAGGGACAAAGTATGGATGGCTCCGCGTCTCTACAGTGCCTCATGCGTACGCTAGAGAAGCAAACATAGGACATCCCGAGTAAGGGATATCATGGTATGAACCTACGCGGGGAACTCTGAGTTGCTCAGCCTAAATCCGAGGAGCGAGATACCTGATGCGGAGAAGTAATACCCGTCTGTATCGTCAGCCCTACCCTTTCCCCGGTCCCTGTGTATCATGTAATTGAGATTCACCGCCGGGTCGCTTGCGCCGGCGGAGATTTGCGCACGCAGGTATCTCCCCTGGTGCAACTTGACCGAGCTTTGACCAAAGCCCATGCCATCTGAGGTTCTGTATATCCAAACCACACGGTTCTCGCTTATACAGTTTGGAGCATTCGTACAGCTGTTCATGACTTGTGTGTTGAAGCCCGTCGCCTAATGAGATCGCGATGGGATGAACTGAGTTAACAGGGGTAGCTAGCTACCGATTGCAACATCGACGAGTCGATTGCAACATGACCACTTACACTTTGCAAGAAGGTCTGGCGCCTTCAACAGGCGCAGTTAGAGTTGTCAGTAGTCCGACGTCTGAGTCCGAGCAAGTATCATGAGACGGACCGGCAAGACATACCGTTGCCTATATGGCTGCGCGAGTCAATCTCGAATTGGGGATGATATACCCCTTGAGATAGGGGACAGGAAGAGGTCTGTACACAAGTCCCCCAGATCTACCAGGGCGCGCGGACGAGCAAACCCCCGGAGAAAACGGGGAGGGAATCATGCGGTCTGGCAGTGCGGGCCAAGTCCGAAGAGGGCCAGGGCCCGCCCCACGGGGGCTGGGTGCCGGAGGGCCCGGCCTTTCGCTTTCGGGTTCGGGAGGAGCGGTGGCGGAACCGGCGACGGAAGACGCTCCGGATACTGGCTCACTTCACGACGTTCGAAAATAACGACCAGAGGGGTAGATATCAAGTTGAAATTGAAGCAAGGAAAATAGGCCCTCGAACGAACTTGAAAGAAGCCCAACATTTGCTGCGGCAACCAGGCTCGCGGCGTCTTGTGTCTTGGCTGACGGCCATCAACCATTAAGCATGTCAGGCCAAATGCAACTAGCACAGCTGTATCTGTACTGCCTCAATAAGTCAACAAGTCTCCGTATAATAGAGTTGTGGTGTAGAAGATCCCTATGGAGTACGACTACTAACTACCACAGCCTAGGGGATTTAATATATTTTGAGTTCTCCCCCTGACTCGGATGTGATTCTAGCGGAGTACAATCGGACTTTGAGCATCTCTCCGGGACTCGACCTCCACAGTCTACAGATGTGGGCGGTGTCTTCATTACTTAAAGACGGTGAGATTTGTCGTCGTTGATACCTAGCTTGCTTGAATCACTCACAACTCACTTCATCCTCACTGTCTCTAAAAGCCCAAGACTAAAGTTTACCTTTACCGTCACAATGCGTTTCGCCAACCTCTTTGTCGCGGCTGCTGCTATGCTCCTCCCCGCCGTTGCCATCGTAAGCCGACCACTATACTATTCGCTCAAAATGATACTGACATTACCGCTCAGGCTGGCTACTGCGACGGTACGGACTGCGTCGACAGCATCAGCAGATGGTCGTGCCCGAAGCAGTGCCCTAGCGACGGCACTTGCGCCATCAACGTCCCTTGCTAAGTTCGCCAGGCATGACTGCGTTGCTCGGTGCTGGGACAGGGAATTGACGGGGAACCTTGGTCTTAGTTGTGTGGGACGGGGGAGGAAAAGAATACAAGCTGGGGATGATGGTATTCAAGAATGTGTTTTGAGATTTGGTCGGTCTGCTCTATGTACTCACTTACAGCCCAATCTTAAAACCACTTACCTCGTATATGGCGGTCCATGCCCGTGTAACCGTGGGTCCCAGTCTCGAGCATCTGCGTACATGTTGTCAACCCCCTCGAGACCTGCAAGGTCGTTATAAAGGGGGTCTTGCTGCAGTAATCCCGGGCCATCAAACCCAAGATCCTGAAGCTGTAAGCTGCTCGCCGGAACGGATAGAACTGGATCAACCATGTATGCAGTCTGTCCATATCCTTGTGGACGTTCATCTGCAAGACTTTCACGGTGCAAGACTTCATGCATCGTCGCTCTTACTGGTAAAGAGACATGACTCCCACCGTCCGAGTCTGTAGGATTGGAAGGCTCCGTCCTTGGCGGAGTCGGCAGACTCGGAATGGCTCGCAGCCCCCTTGCCGCAGCCCAGTCGTCATATATCCTTTCCAACGCCGAAGAAAGCACAACATGTTCGTTTTCGATGCGTCTGTCGGATGGACTGCCGTGAAGAAAGTCCGATATGATGTTGGCCCCTTGGCTCGTGAAATACTCACGGAAGCTGCGAAGGTCTTCGGAGAGATCGTTGTCGATGTATGCTGATGTCGGATGAGGGTGGCCAGGGAAGCAAATATCCCATATGGCAAACCACTTTTCCTCCTCGGTTTTTCTTGGATCCGCACGACGGTGAATCTCCTGAATTTGAGCGCGGGTCAGCCCCTGCCTTTGTACACCTCCCGGAATAATCTGGCACTGCCGCGCGCGGACATGCTGGTCATGGGCGTCTTCGGTCTCGAATACGGCACCGCAGCAGGCTGACGTTATGGGCGCCTCATGGAATTGATAGAGGTGTTGCTTGACATATTTGATTTTGCTGAGAACCTTCTTGTGGCATTGGCGATGATTCTCGGGATCCTTCTTCCAAAAAGGGCAGGCAAGCTGTCTCCCTGAAGCAGAGGATGAAGTTGGGAACTTGGCACGTTTATAGCCTGGTCCAGCATCATCATTCTCGTCCAAACTTGGTTGATCTTGCTTGCCAGTGTGGGGACGTTTTCTTGCGTGATGAGAAGAGTCTGGGGTCGAAACACTTGCTCGCTTGGTGCCCTTCTCGCCGGCTGAGCTACCCCTTTGCTGAACTTGCCACACACGGTAATGCCGAGTGACGGCAGTGATCGCGTCATTCAGATGGTGCTGAAAGGGGTCGTCAGGGTGGATGTGATACTCCTCGATGGACGACTCCGGAATAGAGAAGACGCTGGACTCGATAGAGGAGTTTCCGTCGCTATCACCAGTCGATTCCGAGCTTTCTGCGATGCAAAGGAAGATTTCGGAGCGTGGGCGCGATGAAGCTACTGACCAAGGGATAGATAGAGGTGTAACTTCGGATCTTGGTCGAGGTTTCATCCTTGACATCGACAGGAGGGTATTTTGGATGCATGTGGTGTCTGTCTCAAGCTTGGGCTGATCACCCGGTTCTGATGAACTGGCATCGTCCAGTGTTTCGAGAGAAGGGCGGTCAGGAATCTGATTGTTGGATCTTTGAGTTGGCGACGAATTGGTTGGTGAATTGGTTGGGTTCTCTGGCCTCAGGGCTGTGCTGCCCCTGACTCTTCGAAGGCCCTTTGCTTGACGTGATTGTTCGTATGGCTTTGGGCGTCTCTGAGTAGCTTGCCCGTAAGCATCAGCACTCTTCCCGCCGACAGGTTTGGCAGACAAGGCATTTCTGCGGAACGAGGCAGTGGAATGGCGAGACTCAGGAAAAGATTCCTCGATATCGGAATCATCGTACTCAACACGGGTAGGGATACGATGTTGTCGACCTTGCTGTGACTGTGGATTGACCATGGTCCCCGTAGAGCCAACCCCGGCCGTTGCCTCTCGTCTCTGGATGCTTCCATCGGCACCACGGAGGTACTCAGACTGAATACGCCTTCGACGGTAATCTGAGCCGTAGCCAGAGTCGCCCGAGATGCGTTCGCGAGCAGTCTCCTTGGTCGATTCGGGACGGCTTTCGACGCTGTCGATGGAGGGAATACTCCGGCAGTATTTCCTTGATCTTAGACTGGAGTCTGACTCCTTGCCGCGGAATGGTAGGGTTGGATGAACCTCAAGCTTGGTCGAACATGTACGCCTGCCTTCATCGATCGTGATGGGCGAAAGCTCGTCTGGGGACGCATCCATGAAAGACTCGTCTGGCTGGTATTGCAAAGCGATTGCACGGCGGGTTGCGCGGTCCATCCGGAGGAACTTGGCTGCCAGGTCGAAGGAGGCCTCTTCGTCTGTACGTGCAAAAGCGTCGTGTGATGGCTTTCGATCTCCTTTGGCGTCATCATCAACCACACCGATGGCCCTGGTAGCCCGCGCTTCGACGTCTTGCAAGCCCATGATGGAAGAAAGCCTAGGTGATTGAGAATCTCGCACTTGCGCAGCGCGAGAAATGGCAGAAATAAGATGCGATGAAAAGAAGGCGCGCCCTGCTTCTATTATGCTCAAGGGCGCAGCTGCGCTCTTCTCTTCCTGCAGGCTGCGCCGCTTGCGCAGGGGGGCTGCTCTTGCTAAGGTCATCTGCCTGACAGGGCGGAATGACGATCTAGCCAATGGTGGCAGCAGCGCCCACCATCAGCATCTCTCTCCGCGACATGGAGAACGCCTTCCGCAGATTTATGCGACATCGCGCAAAAGGTTGCGTCGCCAGCCCTGACGCTTCGAAGAGGCTGCGAGAGAGGATGACGATGGCCTCCAAGGGCGCGCGCGTGCCCTTTGACTTCTCAATTGAGCAAACCTCAACAGAAGACGGCAGACAACGCGAGGAGCCGAGGATGGGGCATATAATCTGGTTCGCACATATATCAGCAGTTGGGTCCTCAGGATGAACATGTTCAGAAGCGCTGAGTAGCATCGTCAACTTCGTCATTCCGGCTTTCTAGTGAGAACCAGTGAAAAAGCTTGCCCTGGAAGCAGTCAGCCATTGGGATCTTTAAAGCCCTAACCCACCATCTTGAACATGTCTCAAAGATCCGCTCCCTCTCCGAGCACCACATCAAGTGGCCAGTAAGTGCTTCGCGGGTATGGCTGGTATGCACGCGTGCTGACGGAGATCCACAGAGCCTGGAGCAGGCCCTCGGCGCCGATGCTGGGGTCTTATCTCACAGCTCCCCCGCAGCTATCAGACGAGCTGCTCCGTATCGCGGCCACCGCGCCTTCAAACCACCACATCTCGACCTCCAGGCACGGCCAAACTCGGCAAAGCCTCGCTGCCTGGAACGCACAGTGGAGCCAAGCAGGCCGGTCGACTTGAAGTGGTCGGCCAGCGCGAGGGGCGCCTGGCGCCTGATCGCGTGTAGGATCAAATGCGACCCTGCCATGGCGAACCAGCTGGTGGTGTGCGGTGGGGTTTTCCATCAGACACGAAGCGCGTGCGATTTGTTAGTTGTTGGTCATGCAAAACGACCCAGGGCGTTGATGAATTGGTGGATGTGATAGGCGAATGGGAAAAGGACTGTGAATTATCACCAGCAATGACGGCATGCAGGAGGGAGAAAACGGGTATCCATGGATGTGGAAGGAAGCCCGTGTTGTACGATTGGCAGTTGGTTTGGTGGGGAATAGATTAGAGGCCGGGGAGTGGGGCCTACCGCGATAGCTTGTGTACGATAATGGCATTAGGGCTGCTGAGACACCCGGTACAGGCATAGATGCCCCGCGAAATGCTTCCCTTCTCACTGCGGAAGGTCATCCGTCTTTTCCGACTTATAAACGACCGCCCCCTGGTGCCGCGTCTTCTTCCTCTTATATTTACGCCTGAACTCGCTTTGGGACTTTGGGAGAATACTCGCGGCGACCAGAAATCCCCCGATTCTCTTCGCTTCGACCGCACGATTGCCATCATTGCCCACCCATTCTCACCCCTCATTAGCCCCCTGAGCGCCCGCCATGCCTTCTCTGATTGAACTTGCCCAGCTCGCCAGGGGCCTCATAGGTCCCTGGATTTTCCTTTCGTACTCTTTCTACTACCTCCCTGGCACCATCATCCGTCTAATTCGCGCCGGTGATTTTGGCCGACTCTTCTCGTTGTCTCGTCTTCGAGATGCCTGGTTTTATGCCTTCTGGGGCTGGGCTGGGCCAAACATCCGTGCCGGCAATAGTGACCGCATGGTTGCTCTCCTCGAAGGCCGTGTGACCGGCGCCGATGTAGTCAAAGACCCTGTTCACCCTCCTGTGAATGGCGTCGTCTTGGAAATCGGCCCTGGCTCCGGGCTGTGGGTGAGCCTCTTCGCCAAGGACAAGCCTGCCACCATGGCTGCCGGTGGTGTGAGACGCAGAGTCGCCGATGGCGTGACGAAGGTGTACGGCGTTGAGCCCAACACCGAGCTGCACCCAGCCCTGAGAAGAAGTGTGAAGGAGGCTGGCCTGGAGGGTACATACGAGATTGTCCCCGCGGGTATTGAGTCGTTGAACGACCCGACCGTGTGGGGAGGCAAGATCGAGAAGGGCAGCGTCGATTGCATCGTGTCTATCCTGTGCTTGTGTGGTATCCCCGAGCCGGAGAAGAACATTTCCGAGCTGTACTCGTACCTCAAGAAGGGCGGGAGGTGGTACTTGTATGAGCACGTCGAGGTGTCGGTCAACGAGCCGCTTCGGCTTTACCAACGTAAGTCAGACCCAGACATCCGCATGGAAACGGGACGCTGATCGTGTTTGCATACAGGGTTCATCAACCTCGTGTGGCCCCGCGCCTTAAATGGCTGCGAGCTGTGCCGAAACACCCGCAAGACGCTGGAGTCTGTGGGACCCTGGGAGAAGATTGATGTCGCGCGACCGCCGATTGAGCCATGGTACCAACTTGTGCCACACATCTTTGGAACTTTTACCAAGTAAAAGACATTCCCCAGCGATAATTGTGAAAGCGGAAGACGGGATGGTTCCTTCTCCAACTGTTGGCTGCCCGAAAATTCATGGACTAGAGGGGCGGCGAGCCTTCAGGTTCACTGCCACCGAGTGGTCGAGGACGGGAGGATTCTGCAAGCACAGTGTCATCCATGTACAAAGTATGATAGAAACAGAGTCTCTGTTGTCCGAGTGTTTGCTCTTGCCGTTGCCACAATCTAGTGTCCCCTGCAGCACCCAGCCTAACGAGAATCATACAGTACGGCCCGAAGACGGCCCTCTTTCCTTGTGGCTGTTCCCCAGAGGGCAAGCAAGCTCGTGCTTGGATCGTCACTTTCTTCACACGAGAAGAAAACTGCTCTGTGGCCCTTCCGCACCGAAGTTAGACCGAGCCTTCCATGTGCAAACTACCGTCGCACGACGAAAGAAGGAACTCCCTGAGGGTACCTGCATGGTGACAAGTGCGCTACTTAGGTAGATAAACATTGCTTATCAACGTCTGCCCTTTGCCAACTTTCTCCTCCCATCATAATAACATCCGTTCCCAGGGTCTCCCCATTCTCTGCTACCACCGACAACGCATCATTACTTGCTCACCATACTCAGCCTCGCGAGTCTCGCTCAGACTTATTGTTGTTCAGCTCAACATCCTCATTCTCCACCTTCCATTTCTGATCCACAACATCATGCTCTTCACGGCTGTCACCTCGCTGGTCGTCGGCTTCGCAGCCACACTCGCCAGTGCAGCTCCGCCCAATGCAGCCCATGCGGCTTCAGATATCTCCGACAGCTGCGATACCGCGATTTCAGACAAAAAATGCTGCTTCGCTCTCACGGTCAAGCAAGATTTGGGCAACGGAAAAGTACAGGATTGGGGCTACGTCAAGGAATCCAAAACCGGCCGAATCTTTGTCGGATTCGATATCAACGCATATCCACAGGGCTACTTCTGTCTTTATGGCAAGCCTACGGATGAGGGAACTTACGGACTTGCGGACGGCATGGATAATCGCTGCGACTTCCTTGGCAACTCATTTTTTGACTGCTCCAACCTACCATCGTTTCAAACGTTCTTCGGCACCACCAAGACAAAGCTGTCTGATGGGAGCGAAATCGTCATCCTCACTCGTAAATCACTGGAGCCCTTGGGTATCTGCCCCCAAGATGCGAAGCAGTCACTCTTCAAAATCGTCTACGGTGACGATGTTTCATTCAAGGGTTGTCATCGGATTCACCTCGCACTGGAACCGCACACGCCTGATACTTGCCCCAAGTAATTCCAACATGGTTCCGAAATCTCGATACACAAACAACAACATGAAGGGAATGCAAGACCTGAGGGGTTTGGGGAGACGGTGGTGCTCGTAGGAGCGGATGAAGACATGATCAGAGAGCATCGATACACGCATGAATAGAAGAAAATGTTAATTGAAGAAGATTCCCTACTTGACGTCCGAAGACTGTGATTCTGGTTCATTTGAAGAATTAAGTCCATTATTAAGTCACGCGTTGCTACCTATCAGTCTCCATCATGACTGTGCCGTCGTCATGGGGGTCAGGGGCTGAGCACCAACTCTCTTCGCCTCCTCGTTAAGAGCATCCACCTCAGCCTGTACCAGCGGGATGCCAGTCTTCTCTCTCTCCTGCTGATTGAGTTGCTCAATCTCACCCGGGAAGTAGATGCGTTCCACACCAGCTGCCTTGTCTGAGCCAACGACACGCTGGTACAGGTAATCCATCCTCTCCCTAAAGTCATCCAAGCTCATGAACAAGTCCGGCTTGATGGCGACCAAGAAGTGGCCCACGTCTGCCGGCTTCGAGGGGTCATACGGATTTGTTACATGTCCCGCAAAAGCAGACCCTGACAGCACACCCGAAAACACGTCCATCATGATGGACAGCGCTGAGCCCTTCGGCCCGCCCATGGGAAGCATGACACCCCCCAACGCAGCCTCCGGATCATCCGTCGGGCGTCCCTCCGCATCCAATGACCAGTCCAAAGGAATCTTCTCGCCCCGCCTCTTGGCCTTGTAAATCTTGCCCCTCGCCGCCACCGACGGCGCCATGTCGAGAATGAACGGCTTGTCCTTCCCCGGCGCGCCGCACGCGATCGGCGAGACGCCCATCAGCTTGCTCTTGCCGCCCCAAACCGGCAGCGCGGGGCTGGAGTTTGTGAAGACGAGGCTCATCATGTCGGCGTCGATGGCCTGCTGCACGACCCAGGCGCTCATGCCGAAGTGGTTCGAGTGCTTGACGCTGGCCATGCCGATGCCGAAGACCTTTGCGGACTCGATGGCGGCGGCCATGCCCATGCTCGCGGCAACGAAGCCGAAGCCGTTGCGGCCGTCGACCTGGGCGACGGCCGGGGTGATCTGGGTGAGCTCCGGCTCGGCGGCGGCGTTGAGGACGCCCTGGCGGACTCGCTCCATGTAGGAGGGGATGCGGTTCATGCCGTGGGTGTCGACGCCGCGGAGGTCGGCGGCGACGAGGCAGCGGGCGACGGTGGCGGCATTGGGGGCCGGCACGCCGTTGCCTTTGAGGATGTCCTCTACGAGGCGGCGTGCTTCGGGTGCTGAGATGTGGATTTTGGGTTCTGTTGCGTCTGCCATTTTGGTGGTGTTTTCTTCGTTTAGGTGATACTGTGCAGTGAGGTCGAGCAGATGCTGGCCTTTGAAACACCAGGGACTGTAAAGAAGAATGCTAGTGAATGAGTATCGTTCCGATGAAAGTTGATGAAAATTAATGAGTATTATGAGCTTCCCAAATGGTGTTTTACCTCACAAGACTTGACATGAGTCTCGTGATCAAACATGTCTGAACGTACAGTTGCGTTGAGTGGCCGCCAACTGTGCGGGATTAGCCCGACCCAACAAAGTCTTGCTGCGGGGTTTCCCCGCGCCAGTCTCACCTCCGTCTTTTTTCAACCTCACCTCTGCGTGCCCACATCGGACATTTCCCGAACATCTTCAACCTCTTGCTTGACAATCCATCTCGACCGTTCCCCGAAACCCGCATTTTCGGACTGTGAACATCATCACCTGCAGTCTCCGGAGCATGCCCGATTCGAACACCTCCTGGCCGCCGCCAAGCCGCCAACCGCGGAGAACGGCCCGGCTGCGTCTGGCATGCGCCCGTTGCCAGAGGCGGAAGATCCGTGTAAGTGAGGGTGGATCGCGGTTCTCGGCGGGTGTTGCGGAGTGGAGTTTGCTGATTGGGCGCAGTGCGACGGCCAGCTTCCGGCTTGTAACAATTGCAAGAAGGCTTCGGTTGCCTGCATTGATGGAGAGAGTGTGCGTCTGAAGGACCTGCCGAGGGCGTGAGTGCGTTTGCTACCCTCTTGGGGCTCTGAGTTTAACAAAGGCAAAGGCAAATATCCAATCTCAAAGACCGCATCAGATGGCTCGAGAGCATAGTTCGAGACCGATGTCCTGATGTGGACTTGGCTCAAGGCCCGTCCGGTGATCTGGACATGGATGCTGATGGTGACGACACCTTCGTCGCTGAGACAACAGTTGACGACGGTAGTGTGCAACCGGAAGACCACATGAGCGCACCCGATTCCAACGGATCTGGACTTCATCAATCAGTGGCTCCCGAAAATGCGCCCATCCCGCAAACTCGTCCAGACGCTCGCGTGATTGATCCCTCAGCAAGCAACGCCCTTTCACACGAAATCGGCATGGTTTCTCTGGGCAGCAACCAGGACCCCAAGTACATCGGACCTTCTAGTGGATACTTCCTGGCCCGTCTGATGCTGAATTCCACGCGCCAAGAAGATCAGGCAGCGTGGCCCTCCAGGACGCCGGCGCAAAACAGCCCGTTCCCGACGGCACTCGTCGAGGCGATGCAGGGCCCGCTTCCGTTGCCGGGCAAGGAACAAGCCCGCCAGCTCGCCGAGATGTACTTCGACGTCATCAACGTGCAGTACCCCATCCTACACCAGCCGACGTTCATGATGCTGCTGGACCAGGTGTATGAGAATGGCTTGGAGGCGGAGCATGGCCCGACGGGTGCTTTCCAAGTCTTCATGGTGCTGGCGCTCGGAGCCACGGTCCTTTCCCGTCGGACGAGGGCCAGGCTTTCTGGGGAATCGTACTGCTTGTCAGCCCTGCAGTACTTTGATCGGATCAATGTTGAGAATTCCATTCGCGGGCTGCAGTGTTTGCTGCTACTGACGATATTTACCATGCACAGCGCGTGCATGCGTTTGGATGTGTGGTATCTCAACTACCAATGCATTGCTGCCGTTCTTGACTTGGGTCTTCAGCGAGACATCAACACTAATGCGGGAATTTCTCTGCTAGAGCAAGAGATGAGGACGAGGATATTCTGGGTTGTTCTCACCCTTGACAGGATGATTGCCACGATGATGGGCCGACCTATTGGGCTACGAGATGAAGCCTGTGACCTTCGAGTGGGTAGTCCATTTGATCTATGACAAAGACATTGCTAATTTTCGGATAGCTGCCCCAAAACATCGATGACTTCGCACTGCACAATTTCGCCCAACCAGCTGGATCTGCACCAATAGGCCGCATGGCTTTCTCCATCCACCTGTTCAGACTAGCCAAGCTCAACTCAGAGTTCAAATACGTCGCCAATAGCATTGTCCGCGATACCCCTCGATATGCCTACCCTGCAGTCATCGACATCAACGAATGGCAAAATGGCATGCTTCAGCAGTTGGATGAATGGCACAGCACCATCCCTCAACACCCTGGAGTGGAGTACGTCCAGATTGTCTGCCGGATTAGATACCACGGGCTCCGGATGCTACTTCTGCGGCCCAGTCCCGCGATACCCAACCCGTCGTCGGACTCATTACGCAAGTGCTTCGACGCCGCGTGCCAGGGCGTCCGTCTCCTGGACCAGCTATACAAGCAAAACATGCTGATGCACGCCTGGAACACGCCCCATTCAATCGTCTTGAGTATCATTACCATGCTGTATTGCATCAAAATGGTACCCGAGATTGCTCGTCAAACAGCATTAGACTCCCTCATGTCCGACTTCAGTGCCGGATTGGGGGTCTTGGCCGCCACCGGAGAGCATTGGTCTGGAGCGAAGCGGTGCCGAGATATTCTCGACGACATGATTCGCGCCACTGTTCGTTGGATCAAAGACATGCTGAGCCAACCTGCCACGTTGGACGTGCCGCAGCATCGCAGGTCCTCGCGTCTGGAATCTACACAGGCACCACCGCTCAACCCGTACGATCCCAATCTCAATGGCGCTTCAGCAGGCAGAATCGGCTTCTCTGAGAGCCTGTCTCACCCGATTACTATGGCATCAATGACCTCAAACGGACCAGAGGCATTTCTACCCCAAGACCCGTTCGAGTCGTTCTTGTCTAACACAGCTTTCGGTGACCAACTGCAGATGGGAGAGGGATCGAACTTGGATAGCATCATGCGTGGTCTTTTTGACGACTTCATACCGACATACCCTAGCTTCTCTTGAGCTGATTGCGGCTATTTACAATAATCTTGTACAGAATAGTGTTTTTCATATGGCACATTACAAACGTCTAATGATTCCCAAGTCATAACCCTCGTGATGGACCGCGAGCCGTTAGGAAGTCAAAGTCTCCGCCACCCTCAGCCTGATTAACCTCGCGCAAGTACAAGCCACGGTAACCCCTGATCCGCTTCTTCGCGATCCAAGGCGCGTTACTCCCACCATTTGCCTCCTCCTGCTCTAGTACCTGGAGCTTCTCGGCTATCCTCTTCTTGATCTCTTCATCTGAGATTTCGACCCTGATTACACGCTGCTCCGCGTCAAAAGTGATGATGTCGCCGTCCCTGACAATCCCCAACACCGACTCGGGATCAGCTGCCTCTGGAGAGATGTGAAGCACGATGGTCCCGCCAGCGGTACCGCTCATCCTGCCGTCCGACAAACGCAACATGTCTTGTACCCCCTGCGCGGCGAGTTTCCTAGGAATCGGGATCAGGCCTGCTTCCGGCATACCCGGGTTTCCAACCGGACCGATATTCTGCAAAACAAGCACACTATTCGGCGTGACGTCCAAGTCCGGATCGTCAATCCGAAGCGCCATGTCCGCGGATCCAGCGAACACGACCGCGGGGCCGGAGTGCTTCAGCAGATGCCGGTACTTTGACGCGCTCTGCTTGATCACCGCGCCGCCGGGCGCGATATTCCCGCGGAGCACAGCGAGCGCAGACGCCGGGTACAGCGGCTCGTTGAACGTCTGCAGGCAGTTGACCAAGCTGTCCCGCGGCACGGGGATGAAGGGCGTGCTCGCGAGCTCCTCGCCGAGCGTCCTGCCCGTAACCGTCATCGCGTCCAGGTACAGCAGGTCCTTGATCTCGTGCAGCAGCGCGAGCATGCCGCCGCTGTTGTGGAAGTCGGTCATGTAGTTGTCGCCGCTGGGCTTGAGGTCGACGATCAGGGGCGTCTTGCGGCCGATCTCGTCGAAGGTGTCGAGGGTGATGGTGCCGGCGACGGCCGGGTGGCGGCCGATGATGGCCATGAGGTGGACGACGGCGTTAGTGGAGCCGCCGATGGCCTGGAGGACGGTGATGGCGTTGAGGAAGGACTCGCGCGTGAGGAGGTCCTGGGGCTTGAGGCGCTTGGTGTGCAGGGCGACGGCGAGGCCGCCTGTTTGCTCGGCGATGCGGAGGCGGGCGGAGGAGACGGCGGGGGCGGTGGCGCCGGCGAAGGGCATCATGCCGAGGCCGACGAGGATGCAGGCCATGGTTGAGGCGGTGCCCATGACGCCGCATGTTCCTCCCTGTGTTGAGTTAGTAAAGTGAAATGAGTTGAGAGGTGTGTTTTCTACTCACCGTTGGTGCAAGCTCGTCATTGATGGCGGAGATATCTTCGATATCAATCTTCCCGGCTCTGTATGCCGCCCAGTTGTTGCGGCAATCTGTGCATGCGCCGATTCTTACACCCTTGTGGCTGCCCGGCATCATTGGCCCTGTGACCAGATGCAAAATGGGTTTGTTCGCAGAGATACCACCCATCAACTGAGCCGGTGTCGTCTTATCACATCCTACCCACCCGTCAGCCCCAGCACCGTCCGTCTCAGACCACACGACATCTTACCTCCAATCAACACCACAGCATCACACGGCTGCGCCTTGATCATCTCCTCGGTGTCCATGCTCATCAGGTTCCTCAGATACATGCTCGTCGGCGACGCGAAGCTCTCCGCGATGCTGATCGTGGGAAAGTCGATCGCCAGCCCGCCGTTGAGCTGCACCCCGCGCTTCACGGCCTCAATCAGCTGCGGCACGTTGGCGTGGCACGGGTTGAAGCTCGAGTACGTGTTGACAATGCCGATGATGGGGCGCGAGAGCGCATCCTCGCTGTAGCCGAGGGCCTTGATGAAGACCTTGCGCAGGAAGAGGGAGAAGTGCGCGTCGCCGTAGGAGGTGAGGCCCTGGCGGAGGCCGGTCGAGTTGGGGTCGATTGGGGTTGAGAGGTCGTAGTCGCCTATTACAGGCTTCTTTTGTTCTGCCATTTTTACTTACCTGTGCTTTCTCAAATTTTGAATTTTGATGTTGGGCTTTTTGGTGTTAGTTGGCTTGCGATTATAAGGGACGGTCACGTCATGAGGAGTATTAGTATTCCTGGTTTTATGGTTGGCTAGATGACCTTATCCGCGGGCCCGGTTGAGGTGCGGGGACTCCGCATGTCGTGATCCCGACGGTAATAGGACGGCCGAGGGACTCGGAGTCTTGTCCGTGACTGGCGGACTTTCTCCGTTTGCATGCGGCTTACAGCAAACTCTCATCGAGAAGCTTACTTGATGGCCGTGGCATTCGGGGAGCATTACTATGCGTATTTTGTGTGCGGTTCGTTTTGAGTATAAGTTAAGCTGTTGAATCGAGTGAAGCAATTATGATCGTCTTGACCCAGCTTCAACATCCCATTCATCGTCACCGAAGCCCCGTCTTTTCCGACCCTTTTCCGTCACCACTTACACCACACTCATGCTCGACCTCAGAGGAAAAGTCGCCCTCGTCATAGGCCTTGGCCAAACCGGCTCAGAAGGCTGGGGCATTGGGGCCGCCTGCGCCGTCACTTTTGCAAAGCAGGGCGCCATCATTTTTGGTGGAAACCGCACTATCGAGTCAACAGCCAAGACAAAGCAGGCCATTGAAGAAATCGGAGGCGTCTGCGATGTCGTCGCTACCGATGCCACCTCTTCAGAATCTGTAAAAGCGCTCGTGGACGCGTGTCTGGCAAAGCACGGCCGCATCGACATCCTCCTAGCAAACGTCGGGCAATCCCAGCCCGGGTGCCCTGCAACCATGTCCGAGGAGACGTGGGACTCTCAGATCGAGATCAATCTCAAGACCGTCTACCTCGCATGTCACCACGTCTTGCCTGTGATGGAGAAGCAGGAGACGGGCGGGAGCGTTGTGTGCATATCGAGCATTGCGGGATTGCGGTACATCGGGAAGCCGCAGGTCGCCTATAACACGACCAAGGCGGCAATTATGCAGTTCGTCAAGGCGACAGCCGTCATCTATGCCCCCAGAAAGGTGCGGCTGAATACCGTTGTTCCGGGGTTGATGGAGACGCCGTATACCAAGAGTTTGGCGTCGAGATTTCCGATGGAGGGCGGGTATGAGGCGTTCAAGAAGATGAGGGATGATCAGGTGCCAATGGGGAGGATGGGGGATGCGTGGGATGTTGCGAATGCGGCGGCGTTTTTGGTCTCTGATGAGGCGAGGTATATCACAGGGCAGAAGATTGTGGTTGATGGAGGGATTACTTCTTCTACAGGACGGACATGAATTGAAGATTGTTACCAGGTGGCGGTGCTTTTTGTCCTGCTCGAACCCTGCACATGTCGCCTCTTGCCAGATTTCAGATGCGTATTTCATAAGAGACGAGTAGGACTACAAACATTATGCTTAGCGCACCGGGGAATGTTTCTGTCGCTAACCGTATCAGATAAGCCCTGGTTCCAAACGCGATGTATTTGTAGCTGAAAGGGACAGTAAGGGTGTCGGCGCGAAGTTTATACACCTCTGATAAAAGCCCTGCCACTCATGTCTTCACTAAAGTTTCTCTATGTGCCTAAATAATAATCATGTCCTCCACGTGTTGCTGGTAGGCTGCAAGGAGTTCTAGTTCAGAGAACCTTTTGCGATGTCTGTCCGAAAACCATCCTATTCTCTTGTAAATGCGGTCCAGCTCACTTACAGGAGCTAAGATAATGCAAATGAGGTCGGTTTCCTTGGTATACGTTGAATCCCCACTCCCCGAGCAATTGCGCTCTTGGGCGTTGAGAACTAGGAAATTGATTGTACCACGCCCCTTAAATTGGATTTCTGTAGTGTCTGGAAAGGGCAACACAGAGATCGGATGGGCGTTTTTGTCTTTCAACTGAATCAATATCTGTCCGGCAATCGACTCTTGGCTATAGTGTCCAGCGATCAAGGGACCCCTCAACTTAATGTACCCTCCGGTAACGTCGACAACATCTTGGTTCCCGCTTCTTGTCGTAACATCCACATCTAGGACTGAAACCTGAAAGTGGAAGTCAGCCGCGGTCATATGCATCTTGAAAGGCCCATCAACCGATGCCCAAGACCAGGAAGGCGCCCGATATTGAGATGAAAGCCTTGGCTTTGGAGTGAAGACGGTCCAATTCAGCAAATCCAAGACCCGTGACCGCCATAGACCCGCGAGATATCTGTCACCGGTCACCTCCTGGAAGAGCTTGGCGATGCCCGAAAAGGCGTAGAGCTTGTCCTCTGGCCTCGTGAAGCGGCATTGGGAATAGGTCGTGACAAGATCGCGCCATAGTTCCAGCGCGTCGTAAGCCATGTTGTGGTCGTCAAGCCCTCGTTCCTGTGTTTTATCCAATTGTTTCCTCTCCTCAAATGGCTGAAGTAGTCTTTCAGTATCCTTGAAAGATATATGGAGGGGAATACCTCGAGGAAAGCCCTCACACTTGTGTTCCTCAAGACACTCCCACAGAACCTGATGTTGTGTAAAGTAGAGCTGGCGCGGCCCCAGGAAACGTTCCTGGAAGACCCAGCCCCTGCGATGAAGTGAACCCCCGAGAAGGTGGCGATCCCAATAGCTTTTATCAAAGATATAGAATGTTTCAGGGTGACCTGACGCCAAAGTCGAGGTGACCAAACCAGGCCGAATGTCTCGCCCATCTCGAGACCGGAAAAGTCCTCCATCGGCGTCATCTGACGCAGAAGCGGCGATATTACAAGCCGCGTTTGCGTATATATGCCGCATCTCAGGAGCTTCAGCCTCCCAATCGTCTCGGGAGTCTTGAATGATGCATAGACAGTCAATCCATATGTATCGAATTCCCAATCGCCGTGCCACAATAACTGTATCTTGGAATGTTTTGGGCAGACTAGAGATCTCTACTCCTTGTCGAAATTGGCTCATTGTGGACGATGTCAAGAGCTCGTGCTGGACATCGTCTCCCCAGCGGTAGCTCAGAGTCAGATACAGAAGAGATTCAGACAATATCGCATCTGTGCTTGTTATCAAAAGCTTCCATTGCGATTCCTCATGAGATCCAATGTCTATAAGACGTGACGGAAGCCAGCCCTCTGTCTGTCCAGGATGAGCCTTGCACTTCCTTGTATGGCGAGATGTGCACTCGCGAAACCAGGAATAAGCCAAGTCAAGGGTTTGTGAAGATCCGGTGCTTTCTTCGATGTCCGAGACCACGAATAAGTTCTCGTATTCACTTCCTATGGTTATTGTCAGTAAACGCATAATCATGAGCTCGTTGAAAGCGAGCTGTGTGGGCACGCAGTCGTAATTTGCGTACCTATTGACGGTATCAACCTGAAACGAACGTCGGTGGCGTGCTCTATTTGTTCTCGCGTCGGGTCATTGTAGAGGATCCAGACTCTGATTTGATGCAGCGTATTCTTAGGATACTCTTCTTTATCGATGATGTAGTAGAATGGACTCCAACTTTCCGGGGGCAGACAATCCCACGCTCGCCGATGCTGCTCGGAGAGATTCCATACTTTAGCACATATAAAGCAATCATCAGCGGCAGCCTTCCGAAAACGTTCCAAACTCTGGCCTGTCGGCATGCATGTGGCGTCACGGCCGATCCGACCACTGCTGGTCTGGATGACCTGCGTGCAGATAGAACATAGCCAGCCATTTGGCCGAGACATTGCGATGTGGATCTAGAAGCTGCTTTTTTTGGTGCGACGTCGTTCAGCTTGATAGTTTTGTCGTGACACTGAAGCTATCAGTGTATTTGCAAAGTAAACCAAGTATCATGATCGCGGTAAGAGACTCGGTTCTGGAGTTCTTGACCCCGCTCTCCAATGATCTGCCAACCCACAGCTCCTATCAATTCATCCTGCACGTATGTGGCACAAGCGACTTCGAGACGATCAGCCAATCAACGCCTTGTATCCTCTAGAACTCGCCGTTCTTCAATTCGAGCATCCCTGTATTCTTCGCATCACCTGACAAAGCGAAATCCACCAGTGTCAAGTCCGGGTATCTTAGTTTCGACACTACACAGCGCCATTCACGATTCCCTTCGCCACAAAGTCCCACATGTGTTCATCTTCTTGCTCAACTTCGAAATCAAATCTTGTGACATCCTCTTTGAAGGGCCAGAGGTAGGTGCTGGTCACTCTGCGGAGCTGGTCAGCAATTATTCGGGGAACAGCTGGGTACAATTACCTGTGGTGTTCAGCACTAGCCTGGTACCCTTCAAGTGCCTTGCGGTCCTCATGGAAGCTCAAAAGCGCGAAGTGATAGCCTTTGCTTCGCTCTATCGGGTCGGTAATGGAGGGACCACCGACAACAAGACGCTGTGCTTTCACACAGGGAAGTGTCTTGAGCGTCTTGAGCTCCCTCACAAACGTTGCTTTGTGTTCATCCGTCACATCGGAACGGAACTTGAATAACACTGATGATAATACGCATTAGCATATAAAAATTGGGTAGGTACATGGGTCGCAAGCCTTACCAATGTGAACGACAGTCATGTTGCAATTTCTGAGTATGGGAACGGCAAAGTTGGTCCTACAAATGAATAGCAACTGCAGAGAGAATGAGTGAACTGAAATCAATGGAAAATAATTGAAATTTCAGAAAAGCTGCCTTCAGTAGGCCTTGTGGATGAAAATTGCATCCTAGCCTCTGGGATAACGGACAAATCCCGCGGCCAACTGACACGGTCCGCGACGCCAGCGGGAATTGTCCGTCTGCGCCATCAACCCCCAAAGCCCCACCTGGTCACCCTCGGCGACGTGAAGCATCTTCCCGACTCAGTTTCGGCAACTTAGGAAGATGGCCGAGAAGACCAGTAGATCGAACGACTACGCGTCGACCGGAAGCAAGAAGATTTGAAGACTGGTAGATGCTTTTCCCATCGAAACTCGGCCTTTGGGTAGGTAGGTGCGTTTGCTCACTCGCAAACCCCAGTTCACGTTCATTCATGACCACTCAGAATATGTCAATATCTTCGACAAAAAATAGATTTAAAATTAGAAGTTAGAACATTCCCCTCAACTTGCCAACATCAGTCAAGTTCCCGATGTTAGCAAATGCGTCGTACGCTCTAACCGCCCTGTCCCCGCCAATAGCGATGGTGACTTGGTCCATGAACTTCTTTTTCAGGTCCTCAACGGTGAGTGGGTTCTCCTGGCTACCAATCGCGTTCACGATGTGCTTGTCCAACTTTGTCCCATCGTTGAAGTTCAACGTGATGTATCCTTGGGCGTTATCCACGCTTGCGTCCGTTGTCACGTTGACCTTCTTCCGCAGTTCAGCCACCGTCTGATTCTTCACCACAGCATCGGTGAACTCCTTAGGTGTCGCCTCTCCATAGAGCAGACCCACAGCGGTGGCATGGTAGATGCTGAACTTTCCCTCCAGGCCGGTTTGTGGATCCGTCTTGCCTGTGAGGATCAGAACTTGCGGGTTGACGCGAAGCTGAACAGATTCAATGTCTGTAATGGCCTTGCCTTCTTGCAAGATCTGGTTGTGGAGCTGGATTGCGCCGTCGATGGATGGGTGCATGACAATGCCACAAGGGAAAGGCTTGAATGTGTTCTTTTCAACTTCCCATATCTTGCCAAGTTGATCGAAGTAGGCCGTTGCGTTCTCACGCGTGCTGACGACGTGAAGCCAGCCAAACTTGGCTTCAAGACCTTGCAATGAACTTGTGTAGTTGTTCTTGGCAAGTAGGGCGGCAAGCATACCGCTTTGCGCGGCCCGGCCGACGTGGAATGACTTCGTGTCTGAGCCGAAATACTCTTGCATGCCAACAACTTGGGTTGCTGCTATGCCGATGGCGTTCCGCATAGTAGTGGTGTCAGATCCAAGAAGTCTGCTGACTGCCACTGCGGCGCCTATGGATCCAGTTGTACTCGTGATGTGCCATCCCACGTTGTAATGCTCGGGGTAGACTGACAAACCCAGCTTACACTCCGCCTCAACACCAGCCACGAAGGCGGTGATAAAATCCTGGCCGGAGACTGGGGCTTTCCACTCGGCAACAGCAAAGAGCGCGCTAGCGACGGGTCCAGCTGGATGGATGATTGTCTCCAAATGGGTATCGTCATAATCATCAACATGTGAGGCGATGCCATTGATCAAGGCCGCTGTCTGCGCATCCGCGTACCCTGCGCTGATGAAGTCATTGGCGCCAAGGATGCTCGATGTGGGAGGACCGCTGAAGGCAGCGAGGGTGGTGTTCTGCGCAATCTGGGGTGCGTCTTGGATGTAACCCCCGATTGCGCATCCGGCCCAGTTGTAAAGACTCTTAACAGCGGCATCCACCACGCCGGTTGTGAGGTTGGCGTAGGTCAGGTTCGTCGCCCACGTTGCGAGCTGGAGAGTGGCCATTTTAGATTGCTCCTGAGACGATGCGCCATCTTTGTCCTCGACGTGAAATCGCTTGTTTTTATCATCACTCGATCCTTCCATCTTCACTGACGTTTAACCGACGTCGGCGCCGAATGGTAGCGGGGGTAATGCGAGGTTCAGCGGTTGGTCGGATTTGACGGCATTTAGACCATGTCAGCGGCAGATAGCTCTCGGATTCTGCCCGACCCTAGCAATATAGCGATTGGTAATTGGTGGCGAAGGACGAACCCCTCCGGCAATGCTGGAGATGGCGGGGTAGATTTAACTTTCGGGGAAGTGATCGTCGCCCGTTCCAAGTGAGACTTGATGTTATGCTTAAAATGAAGGTATGGATTGCTTGCCAAATCAGAGTATTTCTCTATTGGCCAGCACGAAGTCGATTGTCAAGCAGGAATAACAGCTGTGCCGGCAACTCTCTTCCTATGTTTTGAATTTGTGGCAGAGGTGGTGCTGCGATTGCATCAAGTCAACGGTGCTCGCACGTGCATGAACAAAATTGAGAGCCCAGGTTCTGCTACCTCGTCAAAGATTGTGTGAAAGAAAGTTTTGGGGTTCCACTGCTAACTGTGATGTGGCGCAAGCATAGGACTTCCTACAGCTATCTTCGACAACAGGCTTAAGACAGTGCCTTCGACTTGATCTCAGTTTCACTGGTGTTGGGGTCCTTCTCATTTCCTCAGTAACTGCTCTAATTAGACCACCTTACCCCGCTGGTCTCGTCCATATTCGAACGGTAAACCCACTTACAACGGTTGAACCCAGTCAACTGTCACTGTGCCGAAGTTCCAACCTGAGAATCCTTGAGCTCTTTCAATTTTACTTCGTGATGACCACCTTCGATGAAAGGATCTGGTAGGCCCTCAATGACTTGTAACGAGGACTTCGCAGCTGAACCGTCGAAGATGGAGTCGATCTCCTCCAGAGTTTTACCCTTTGTCTCAGGGTAGAGCCACCATATGACGACAAAAATGGGCGCATTCCAAAGACAGTTGAGGATGTAGTATCTCCATGAGAGGTTTTGGATAGCGAGCGGGATAGCATAACTCAAGCCTGCCCCAACGAGGTAGCCAAGGGCCTGACCAACACCAACGCCGCGGGCTCTTTGGGTGTACTTGAGGATCTCTGGAGGGTATGAGTAGTTTAACAGCATCCTTCAGGATCGCGATCATTGATGTCAGCAAATATGCTCTCAACAAAGAGTGGCTGTCGCGTACCAAGATGAAAAGGCCGCCCAGTAAAAGATGAAGCACACGGCTACGGCCCCTTTGGCAAATGCGGCTTGGTTTGTAGCCTCGATATGTTGCTGCAGTATGGCAAGAGTAGCAAATGATGCAGCTATCACCATTGTGCCAATCACTAACAGTTTGTTCCATAGTGTTAGTAATGGAATGGTGGCGTGCGTCGACTTTCAACCAGCAAATGAACGCTGAGAGGGGCACTTGCGGAAAGACGACCTTCGCCCCATTTTCGAAACGAACCAAACGCCAAAGATGGAACAAGCTGCGGCCCATGCTGTAAGACCGACGTTGACCTGGAGAAGGGTAAAGGTGTTGGTCACACCAGTCCCACGGATGATGATGGTAAAGAAATATCTGCCCATCCGCTTGTCAGCAAATTCACGTCGAAAGGCCGAGAGTGGTCACTGGGAAAGTCGCTATACGGTAAGAAATTACTGCCATTCGTTTGGAAGAAGAGATTCGTCAAAACAGTGATGAGGAACCTGCGAAAATTGCGAGCTACACAAAATGGCTTTTGATCAGTTTAATCCCTCAGAGACAGGATTGACTTACCAGGAGACACAAGAGATTTCCAGGAGTCTCGTTGACTCAATTGACGCCCAAGTTCGATTGTCTGCTTGATCTGCTGAAATTCTGCCAGAATCTCGGGATCGTTCCTAGTTCTCTGACGGATCTTGACGAGGACCTCGAAGGCCTATGGTATTGACAGCGTCAGTAAAGTTGCATTGGCTACGATTGGTAGTCACAAATGAGTCAAAGCATTTACCTCATCTGCCCGGCCCTCGGCTACTAACCAGCGAATGCTTTCTGGTGCGAAAGGGAGTATTAGTAACGCAATAGCGGGCCCGGCGATATCAGCCTTGATAACCTAGACGTTACTGACTGACTGACACGAAGATGATGGAACCCTGATACATACCATGAGGCCCGCCCTCCATGCCCAATTGGAAGTTTTATTGTAAATTCCCAGGTAGATGAGACCACCCATCATGCCTGTAATAGGCAAACAAGCAACCATGACATTTGTTATCTCTTCCCGATACTTCGGAGGGCCAACCTCCATCAACCATGACGGGGCGCCAGCACCCGTAATGATGAACGAGAGACCCAATAAGAATCTACCACAAAGAAGCTGCACTTCTGAGAGCCCATCAGCATATTCTCATTCTGATCTAACCAAAAAACACATGCCTGCAGAAAACATGGACAAGAGGCTTACTTTCGTGGGCCGAGGCTTGAAGGGTGGCTCCGAGGAGAGCAATGGCGGAACCGATCATCAGACCTCTCCGACGGCCATACCGATCCAACACAAAGCCAGCAAATGGGACTGCAAAGACACAACCAGCATAGAGAATTGTGACATTGAGGCCGGCGAGAGCGGGAGTAAGTTCAAAATCTGTTAGTCAATGCAGGTCAATAGTTGAGCTCATCTCTAGTTCGGAGGTTCTAATTATGGCAAATAGGAAAAGAAAGGCATTGGGAATACAATTTTGGAAGGATTGCATAACGTTGAGACTATTGATAATGGCGACGTCGAGGGAGAAGACACAGGTGCTCGCGATGCAGGCAAGCAATGTAATAACCATAGCCTTTGAGCCCATATTTGCGATTTTGCGTTGTTGTTTGACGATGTTCCAATGTGGATGATGTAGAAGAGTCAAAATACGACGAAGAGATTAGATGAGCCGATCCGTAACGTGACCACTTCAACACACGCGAGGTCTCAGTCACTAACCTGACGTATCGACCAAGCGTCGACCGCTCGGCGAATCCGGACATGGAGCCCGACGTGCATGGAACAGCTATGTATGCCGAACTATTGCGAGACAGCAGGCGCGTAACTGGTGATAACAATTAACAATGGTATCTCAGTGTGGAACTGTTCAAGTTGGAATGCTGATCGGGCATTTCGGCCGAGTACCCCGCTGCCTCCCGTCGTCATATCGCGAAATATGCAGGTAGAGTCGACCTTGCTATCCGTAGTCGGTGATCTCTTGAGAGTAGTAGTGATGTGGTTGCTTTCGGTTAAGCGGGGGTCCTCTTTCTGCACCCGAGATGCCAGGATTGCGGGGCCGGCTGCCGCATTGTTGCTTGGCAGCTACGAGCCAAGCTGACCTCCAAGCGCCTTCATACAGCAGGTGGCACTGAACGACAAACTTGTTCATACAGTCACTGGTGTCCGAATCGTATTTGGCGGGCTCCGCGGAAGCCGTCAGTCTGTTGACGAGGAGAAGATAAATGATAGACGAAGATAATTAGATATCGTATTACTGCGTGTTGTGACTGTTGTCCGTTTCGAACTACAGAGCAGCTTGTATTCAATCCTTATGCCTTATCTATGATGCATTTCCCCCATGGTCTGTCAGCACTTTGGCTGAGCCCCCAAGCAATGTTGGGCCTTGTATCGTCCATCATTGTCATTCTCTCAATTCTATGGATCGTGGCTTCTTACAGCCGCGTCTTGTACCTGAGATCTCGAATGCCGCCCGGCCCCTTTCCGTACCCCATTGTCGGCAATATTGGACAAGTTCCTACTGAGAAACCCTACGTGACTTTCGAAAAGTGGTCCAAAGATTACAACAGCCCGCTGATCACCCTTTGGACGGGAAATCGTCCGACCGTCATAGCGAATGACTGCTGGTCGGCGTCAGATCTCATGGACAAGCGTGCAAATATCTACTCGTCACGCCCAGTCTCTTATCTTGCTGGTGACATGCTCGACGACACCGAAAATAATCAGACCAATCTTGTCTACGGCGATAAAGGGAGACTACACCGGCGAATCACGGTATGTAATTTGCTCTGTCTTATGGCCCCTTGATACTCTTGGTACAGCGCTTAATGATTTCAACAGCATTCAGCAGTAGGCAGCCAAGCTGTGCGAGGCTACCGGACGTGTCAAGGTAATGAGTCAAAGATCCTGGCCCGCGACATTTTGGATGGAAACGACTTCGTATTTGCTATCGAACGTTACGCATGTTCTGTGGCCTCCATCATCGGCTGGGTGTTACGGTCAGCTATCCGACAGTAGGGTCTGCTAACAGAAGTTGGGGATTGACGTTTAAACAGTACACTGGGGTCGTGGTCGTAGGTCGTAGGTCGTAGGCTGTAGTAGATCAAGTCTTCAGAGGCTAAGGTGATC